CCTCCTCCTCCTCCTCCTCTACCTCCACAGACAAACTGACCTCTGGACTCTCAGACACATCCACAGGAGGACCATCATGCACGTCCTCCAAATGCCCCTCCATCGCCTCCCAGGACACCACCAGCTGCCCACACTCGGTGCAGACCGCGCCCGCCGGGCCCAGCAAATGCTGCTCATTCATATGCATCAACCACGCCCGCCCGGGCGCACGGTGCACCCGGCAGATGGGACACGGGCGCAGGCGCGGCAGGGTTCTCCCATGGGAGTACTTAAGGTGGGCGCGCAGGATCGCCATGGTGGGGTAGCAATTCCCGCAGGCGGGGCACTGGCAGCAGTCCAGGAATCTCCCGTGGGCCTGGCGGTAGTGCGCCTGCAGCATGGTCAGCAGCTGGTAGGATTTGCCGCAGGGAAGGAGGCCAAAGGGGCGATTGCCCTCGCCTTTCTCTTTCACCTTGAAGGTGCACTCGTACCGCCCGTCGGGGGTTTCACGGTAGGCGTAGTGGCTGCTGGCGCTGGCGCTGTGGGGGGCAGCAGGGACCGGCCACGCGGTCCCGCAAGCCGGGCAGGCGGGGCCGAACGCCTGGGCACAGGCCCTGTGGCAGGCCTTTCGGCACGTCGTGCACCGGCGACACGGGCGCGGGTGCGGTTGCTTGCAGATCTGGCAGGCTGCGTTGCCGGCCTGCAGGACTGGCTGTTCCTCGCGAGGACGCAGGACGGGCCACGAGACCCCGCACGCCGGACAGGCGTCGCCCTGCAGCCGGACGCAGCTCTCGTGGTAGGTCTGGCTGCACGCTGGGCACCGGTACCACGCGCGGGGGCGGGTGGCCTGGCAAATGTGGCAGCGGGCCTTGCGCGTCTGGGGCTCGACCGGGCCCAGCGGGGTCACGTCCTGCTTGGGATGTCCTGGGTCGGTGGGAGAGGACATGCTCGCTGGTTTGTGGATTCTGGTGAGGATTCTAGTGAAGGTTAGCTCTATCTGTGATATGCCACACTGGAGTTGTTTGTCTGATCTCTAGGGGGGAAAGGGAGTAATGCAGATGGTTCTTTTATACACCTCGGATGCACGCCATTAACCCGGGCTGGAACCGGAGAATGACACAATATTCCATTGATATCGATGGAGACACGCGCGACTCATTATTTGTAATGAGTACACTCTCCTGTGGCACAGACGAAGAGAAGAAGAATCACCTTGAGGCTGTCTGTACAAGTTGAATGTCTTGTTGTCTTGTGTTAGAGGCGGCTGAGAGGTTTGGTCTCAGGTCTGATGGTGGAGGGACACTCTTGGTCGATATCCCATCGAGTACTCAGGTTCCATGTAGAGTCTGCTTCGAATTCAAAGTGCTCTGTTTGCTATCCGACAATATCTTTCCGCTATCCTACCGTAGATGTCCTCCATACTGCTTCTCCCAAGCAAATGATACCGGAAGACTACTGAACTCGACGATTTATCTATAGCATCCCTATGCTTATTGGTCAAGGAAAATGCATGTCGTTCGCTGGAGTACGCCTAATCTTGTAAATATATCTTACTATCTCTTTCTATACGTAATGGGTATCTTGTATACTGTACCCACTGGGGTGCAATTCCGTGTTCGGGGTAGTTCACATGACTACCTTACTGGATCGAGGTTGTACATGTATACCAGATACCTGCGCTGCAAAATTCAAGCACAACTCAAAACGTATAACCTCAATGCATTTGAATTTGAATTGTATCTAGTTCGTCCCATTTATCTTCTTCTTTCTCACTGCCAACACTTGAGCAAAACCCATTCCTTTCCATCTTCCATCTCCGACCGATCGGAAGTTTGCATCAAATCTGCTTCGTTCAAACCACAAAATGCTATGAGTCAGAACCACGTCCCTGATCCTCATATTGATACACACAACGATGCTACGATCGGAAATCCCGCTTCCGCCAACCGAGCAATCCCGAACTCTCGCGCTTCCCCAAGAATGGGGGGTTCAGCATTCCACGCACCGCGCCCCTTACTTAACCGACGACCACTCCTGTCCTGTCCAGAGAACCCACAAAGATCTATAGATATTGCGTCTAGACTCTCGCATTTTTCAACATTATGTACAGTACACGATCTCATACTCATATTACATTCGTCGGGCCATGTATATCATCAAGGGTCCCGAGCCAACACACGCACGGAAGAAATAAAGACATTAAAGCCCCCACCCACCGAGCCTTCATCAACCTGATATCTGAACAAATACCGCGCAGCTCCGAAAACCAGCCTATCGCGCATTCAACCCATCCAACTCATGCACCTCCGTCGTGCGGGGCTGCGTACTATCCAACTCGGGGATGGGCTGCACCTTCGTCGGGGCCGACAGGCCCAGCCCGTGGGTCGGGCGGAGATGGTCCTCGCCGCGGGAGTAGATCTCGGAGATGGGGCGGCCGTCGGGGCCGATGTGCGAGGCCGGCGGGGACATGGTGAAGCCCGCCGTCGAGCCGGAGGGGTATTTACTGGCGGGATCGGGGCTGCTCATGTGCGAATCTGCTCGGTTTCGGTTAGTTTGCTGCGCTGCGAGAAAAACGGGGGGAGTAGTGGGTAATGCTAGGGCGCACCTTGATACGGCGAGGATAACGGACTGTGGTATCCATACTCCCCGGGATACATGTGTTGGCGCTCGGCTTCGGCGGCGGTGGCTTCCCGGCGACGGCGGCGGCGGAGGAAGAAGATGGCAAATACAATAAAGGCGACGAGGGCGGCGGCCCCGATGGCGATACCGGCGATCGCGCCGCCGGACAGGCTGGAGTGATGGCTTGAGGAATCCCCGGGGGATGAGGTTTGTGTGGAGGTCGGGGAGGCCGTCGCCGTCGCCGTCGCCGTCGCCGTCGCCGTCGCCGTCGCGCTGGCGTTGTCCTGGAAGAGCTTGAGCTGGCCGGCGGAGGAGGAGCTCCAGGCTGCGGGCAGGAGGTCGTCGTCCGGGCACCCGTCGCCGCAGGGGTTGCTACTGCAACATCCCAAAAATTTCGGCGAGGTGCCGTTGCACGTGTACCAGTCGGAGCTGGGGTTGTCGAGGCAGCGGTTGGGGAGGATCTCGTCGAAGATGGCGCCGTTGAACGAGGCGGCGTACAGGCTGGGGCAGGCCGGGCTGGTGGTGTTGTGGCACGGGTCCGACGCACAGCAGCCCACAAAGTACGGCGCCGTGTCGCAGACGAACCACGAGCCGCCGTTGGGGCAGGTGAAGTTGCAGTCCGTCGAGGAACCGCTTTTGCAGGTGGTCATGGTGGTGAGTGTGAGTGTGGGTGTGATCGGTGCGGTGTTGATCCAGAAGTGTGAAGAACGGTGCAGCAGGGTTCGGTGTGTTCGGTCGCAAAAATGTCAACAAGGGTTTTGCGACAGCCCGCGTGGGAAAGGGTCAATTTCCGCCAGAAAAGAAAGAGCTGTCAGCCCCACTGTCAGCAACACGCAGCGGCCGACTTTATTTAACACGGATGACGATCACGAGCCCAGTGACCCCTAAAATCGTGGCCCGCATGGCATAGCCTTCGTGCTCGGACGTGATTGGCAGGATGATTACGGGATTCGGTGCCCAGACTTGCTTCGTAAGGATGTCAGCCTCGTCCTCTCCCCTCGACCCGGTGAGTTGAGTTTAATGATTGCCAAGTGAAGGATGGGCCATCAGCCACTATTTTAGCCTGGGGGCCGCTCCGCCTGCTTTTTTGGCGGTGCCAAGGTCGTGGCTCATGCGGCTTGAAATAGGACACATGGGCATGGGCGTGGTGAGGCTCAACTCGTTTCATGATTCAAGATCAAACAGTTGCCCAGCAGCGTGGATGCGGTCCTTGAGGTCTGACGATGCTGGGACTGAAGTGCCCCCCGGCACTGCATCAGAACTGCGTCAGAATACGAAGCAGGGCAGATGTGGTCTATAAAATGGCCCAAACTCTCTAGTGGGGGAAAGGATGCTTTACTTTTCCTAAGCGGGGTTACGGTCCACGATAGCTTCTTCCTTCGCTCCCGCTCCTTTTACCACCAGGATCCAGAAGCAGGGACACAGCCCCGGAGCCGCAGGAATGGAGATAAAGGTGGGTGAGACCCTGATTCTAGCTGATGTAGAGATGAATTTCTCTCTCATTTTGTTTTCCCTTGAAAATCTTAGAGATTGGGGGGAAACCGGTTGATCCTGCAAGATGGAGCATTGACCGAGAGGCAGATAGGGCTAACCTCAGCGGGCAGGGCGTGTCCTCGTCCTCAATGACCCTGGGTTTTCTCAGCGGTGAGCCGGGCGGTGGGTGGAGACGCAGGATGCAGGGTACCCCGACGGATGGGGTTGTTCCGACCCGGGCCCCACTGTCTTATTCCCTCAGCAAACAGCAAACAGGCTAAACAAACAACCCTTTCTAGACTCGCTCCAGCTCATCGCATCAAGGTCTAGACAATCCTTCCCGACTTCCCGACCTAATGAATATATATAAATCTGTCTTTCCTTTCTTCGATCTCGAAAATTCAGATTTCTTCCGCTAGGCTGAAACTCCCAGCGTCTGCAGATTGCCCGACAGCCCCGACTCACCCGGTCTTCGGGCTTCGGCGGAGCCGAATAGGCTGGGTTTGACCCGCATGGTCATCCACCTTAATGGTTCTGCTATAGCTTAATACGAGACCGCCAATCAGATCTTGATGGAGTCTGGTTGAGCACAGAGTTTCATCTACACAGTAGATTAATTTCGAAATCATGTGTTATCACGTGAGTGGGCCGAGAGTCGGGCTGAAAAAAATTAGGGAAACACAAAGAAAAAGCTAAGGCAAACCATAGCAGGAAATCTATCCAGGCCCAGAGTTGCAAAAAAAAGTCGTTGTGGATTCGATAAATCCTCAGAGTATCTAATTTGCAGCTTTAAAGCTCAGAACTCGGTGGTAATTAGATCAGTGTTATGAATAAGTATACATGTTTACACGCACAACTACATGGACTGCCACCTGCTTGGTTGAAGATGATGATAAGTAGACTCACATCACCAAATCTCTTTGGCCACGAGCCCGCTTCATTTAGCCAAGCCTGAAGACTTTCATCTCTCGGGTGCCTGAACTCTTCTGGCTATGCAGCGCCGCTGTAGGTGATTCACTTGTTTGTAATAGCGGAGTAACTGCCAAGGAGGGCACTCTTAGGCCACGTGCATCAACAGATTTCCTAGTGACGGCAGCCCAAGTTGCTTCTGAGATCTCCAATTCAACAATCAAAGCCACCTGCATAGGATGATATCAGGCAGCCATATCTGGTCGAACGGCGCTCATGTCGAATTACGTGCAGAGGTTCCGGCGCAGGTAGGTAGCCCACTCCATCCAAACGGCTAGTACCGCTAAGATCCTTTCCCCGGTTACAAGGCCACCGGCAGGAAAAGACATTCCAGTCATTCTGACAGGGAATTGTGGGGCGCGAGATGGGTGGGGGACGGGGGACACGTTCCCTGGTTGACCACTCAGAGCCAGTTCAGGAGAGAGTGGCTGGTTCATACCAGTTTCTAGCCAGGTCTAGGCCCAGAAGCTCTCGAGGAAAGAGGACTGGCGGAAGAAGCAGGCAATCCGCTTGGATTGACAGTGATTTACAAGTCGAGAAATCACGAGAGCAATTGCCACCCACTCGCAGGAAACCGCGAAAGAAGATCTCCTAAGGAGCCGAGTATCCGAGTCATGGATACAGTAGGAAGGATACACTCGTTCCCCTTTGATCAGTGTCGCACATGGAAGGTACGAGAACCAACTCTAAGTAATCCGATCCTCCTTCTCTAACTATATTCGGTTCAGGACATGGAAAGTCTCTTACGACATGCCTTTTTACACGATGCGTTAGAGTCTCATGTTATAGAAGGGCATTATGACTTGGTAGGTCCCGACCAGAAGATCATTCTACCTCAAGACTGGGACACTGTGATTGAACCAGGGTGGGATATCACCATGCATGTGTGGCCAGTTCCGGAAGAGCCAGTCACTCCTCAGCCAGCGGATCCCACAAGTCCATCAGTTGATGCGCCGATCGCAACACCAATCCACAGTGGCACATCTGTCGCAGTCGACAGCTATGTGGATGAGCACAAGGATGATGTCCTGGACCATCCTCCTCCTTCGCGCCCTGCTCGAGACTAACACTCTCGTGCCCGGGTGTCTGTTCACCCATCTCTTGATCGCGACGAAGACTATGACCGAATGCCTCCTCTACCTATAAAGCAAAGGATAGCACCGCGTATTATTCAAAAAACGCGCGACCCAACTCGCAAATCCGTGACCGCCCCTTCTCTGTCCTACACGCCCTCTTCTCGCTCTCTGGATCCATCTAAGATAGAAGATACTTTGCCTAAGTATGAACGCCAGCCTTCTTCACTCATGACGTTTATCCCAGAGCATAACCGATTTCTTCGCAGCAGTCGGCGCTCGATGAAATATCACGATTCTGCGCCCCCGGAACGTGCTGCGGTTGGGAATCCTCGCAGGCGCCGGCCTTTAGCTTGGGACTCTGATGACGATACGACAGAGAAAGAACGAGAGGCAGAAACATATCGAGCCTCCCAGCCAGGCGAGTCCTCAGCATCTGACCCTCAATGTGCCGAGGAAGAAACTGCAGGCCACACAAATACTGAGAAAACGAACAATGATAACCTTAAGCCAGAGGACGATGACAACATTGTCATGACAATGAACGGTGTGACCATGAGCTTTAGTCGAGGGTCTGTCGGCGGCACGCGGTTAATACTTCGAACTGGAGACAACGGAGCGGTCGAGCTAGATATCGAGGGCGAACGTCGACAGAAAGAGTACCTGATTGGTTGCTTTGACGACCCTGGAAGTACTGCTCAAAGAGAGCGAGATCCACGGCAAGTCATGAGTGCCAGGGCACCGGTCCGGGCTCGGTGACGCTCGAGCCGGTCGACTCACAGCGAGCGACAATAGATGAATTGGTTATATTATTGGATAAATCCTGTACTGGCAGTATAATCCTAAGCTATCACTTCCTTTTCGTGCATATGTCTATCTAGGACAACATGTATCAATCTCCTAACGTGTTCCCAGAGCTAAACGTATCGAATCATGTGGATAAGGAAGGGAGGGGACTTCTTTAGAGGACATATTTCTCGCAATTTGACAGTGAATATGAAGCGCACGAGCCACTCGCACATGTATCGTCAACCTCATAGCATATATATTCAACCTGTTCTTTCTAGCCTTCACCCCAAGCCATGCAGTCTATCAATCAAACCAGAGCAACACCACTCGGTAACCCAAAGACCTGACTATCCGCCTCCACTAAACAAGCGCCCACCAGTGCGTCTCCCTCTGTGAGACACTCCCCGGTCTTCGCATTCCTCAGATTCCCGGAAATCGCATACTCCCACTTCTGCTCCGCACCTCCCTTGCAAGCCTGCAAGCTCACCTCCCCCGACGCCGCCGTCAAGCACAGCGCCGTACTCGACAGCGGCCGCAGCGCGCCCTGTGCAGTAATCTGCCAGACCTGCGCATCCAGCGCCTCGCACGTCTCAGACCCGACTCTCTCCCCCTCCCTGGCCGTCAAACACCGCCCGGACGCGGTATTCAACACGATTCCCGTGGGGACCACCCCACAGCCAGCCGGAACCCTAACCCTCCAGACCCCCGTCGCATGCGCCTGCAACCCCTGCACCGACAAACTCCCCTCCACCCTCACCACCCCCCCGTCCCACAGCTCCTCTGCCTCATACTCACAATCCGCCTGCAACCCCAACCTCTCCACAGTCACCCCAAAATCCACCGTCCCATTCCCCCGATTCAGCACCGCAACCACGCGGTCCCCATTCCCCAACGACCGCGTCAACACGTCCACCCCCTCCCCCACCGCCCTAACCGCCAGCGTCGCCTGCAGCCCCAACACATCCTGATCCACCTGAATCAACCGCTCATTCCTCAAAACCTCAAGCACCTCCCCCTCCAACCCCGGGATAAAGGCACTAACAATCAACGGCGCGCCCATAACGGCCCACAACGCAAAATGACTCTTTTTTTCAGTCAGCGTCAAGCCCGGATGATCCGGGATCAAGAAGTCCGGATCATTGAAGTACCCCGGCCGCTGATACCGGGCCAGCAGCACGTTATAGTCGTAGTTATTCATAATACTATCCCACGCGCTGCCGGCGCCGGCATATACCAGGATATCCGTCGAGTGGCGCGCCAGCTCGCCGTACCGCGGGACCCAGTCCATGACTCTGTACCACTCGGTATTATTCCCGGTACCCGCGAAGTAGGCGGGTGCGGACTCGGAGAAGATCAGGGGTTTGCGGGCCTGGGTGGCTGCTTGGGTGGTCAGGATTTTGTGCCAGGTCGCGTAGCGAGCCCGGTATTCCTGTTCGAGGGTGCGGTTCGCTGCGGGGAAGACGTTGCACCCGTCGAGTTTGAGGTAGTCGATGCCCCAGGCTGCAAAAGTGGCGGCGTCGAGGGCTTCGTGCCCGTAGGAGCCCGGGTAGCCGCCGCAGGTTGCGTTGCCGGCGTCTTGGTAGATGCCTAAGGAAAAGTTCAGGGAGCGCAGGTGGGTGGCGAGCCAGGGAATCCCCTGGGGAAACTTGGTTGTGTTCCAGGTTAGGGTGTTGTTGGCAAGTCGGGCGGTTTCCATCCAGCAGTCGTCGAGGTTGAGGCGCGTGTACCCTGCGGCTTGCAGGCCGGTGGTTTGCATGGCGGCTGCGGTGGTTACGAAGAGGGTTTCGTTGAGGTCGCACATGAAGCGCGACCAGTTGTTGAAGCCCATTGGCGGGGTGGGGAGGGTGCTGGGGTTGTTGGTTGTGGCGGTTGTGTGGGGGGTGGTGATGGTGAGGAGGGTGAGCAGGAGGTGGGTTAGGGTTGGGGGACGCATTTTGGGGGTTGTTGTGAGTTGTGGGTGGTGGGTGGTGAGGGGGAATTGGGGGTGTGCTGGTGGGTGCACCGGGTTATATGCTGGAGTCCTGGTTGGGATTGCCATGGCAGACGCTTCCCCGCACGCTGCGAGCTGCCGCAACTCGATACCACCGTGCCATGTCGGCTGCAGCTAGGAGCAAGTTAAGCTATCGCGGTTCGCTTATCAGGTCGGCAGGGGAGCCGATCGTGTGACCGTTTATGGCTGAGGAAGAAGGTTCGGCACGGCTCGATTAATCTATCCTGCGGGGTGAATCTTATCTCAGGCCACCCAGTAGGCTCCGCACAACAGGGGTCGGGTAGACACAAGAACCCTGATTCGTGCTCATGCAAGGACCCTCGACAACAATAAAACTAGCGAGGTCTATTTATAGTCCGACCCTGGTCAAGTGGTAAGTGGTAAGTGGTAACTCGTCATGGCTACTGCAGCATGCGTCAGGACGCCGAGTAAGTAGGGTTTCACTGCAGCTGCAATTGCGGGGTTGTATTGATGCAAGGGTGTCTTCCTATCCCTTTACCCCTGCTAGACAACTTCCCCCAATCCTAAAACACGAACCAAATCCATTCCACATAATACATTAAACATTATTATTTCTTCAAACCAAGACACGCTATCTCGCAACAGCCCGCAACCGCGACCCCCCATCCGTCGTCTCCAACAACACCTCCAAACTCCGCGACGCCGCTACCATCGCACTCAAGTCCGGACTCCGGCGCATCTGATGCGGCGCCTCCAGACTCACGTCCGAGAACAGCAGCGCCAGCGGCGACGACTTCCAGATATATTGGTTGCGGGTGCGCACCACCGTCGCCACCAGGAACCCCAGCGTCATGGCTACCAACGCGATAGGCAGAGTCAGCCACGGCCACTGCACGTGCACAAACGAGTCGACTGTCCAGGTGGTGCCGTTCACCGTCGCGGCGCAGACCTCAGTGCGCGCGTGTGTCGTCAGAGCGGTCGCGAGGGAAGTAAACACCCCCAAGACGTCCGTGTAGTTGCCCTGCACCCCGTACAGGGCTTGGATGGTGTCGGAGGTCCAGCTGGGGCGGTTGCTGATGAAGAGCGAGCCGCTGCCTGTCAGGAGTGGGCTGAGGGAGTTGGACAGCGCGAGGCGGCTGAGCCAGCTGACGCTGTAGGTGCAGTCGGCAGTTTGGTTGGAGGTGCAGCGGTCGGGAAAGAGGGACAGGTCGGTCGTTATGTCCGAGGCGGTGGACGAGTTGGAGATGGTGGCGGTCGAGACCAGGGTTTCGTTGAAGACACCCTCCTCCACTGAGGCGGAGTAGGTCTTCACGCAGAAGTAGAGGGCGCATTCGGTGGCGCTGATGGAGGGCGGCACGCCGTAGCCTGCGGCGCTGATGGCGGTGAAGTTGAGGATCAGCGGAGGAAGGGCGGAGGCGTCGAGCTTCACCAGGTCTAAGCCTGTCGTCGCGTTCATCAGGTAGATCCCGCCCCAGGAGGTGGAGAAACTGAACCCGTTGGTCAGGTTGTAGTGGTAAGTGCTCATGGTGCTGGCCGGGTTGGCGGTGGTTAGGGTTAACGCGTCGGTGATGTTGGCGCATCGTTGGCACAGCCCGAGGGATTGGTACGGGGCAAAGGTGCAGTTGCCCGTTGGGCAGGTCATGGTTAGGGCTTGGCTGTTTATTACGGTGCTTTGGAACAGCCCTGTGTAGATGGCCCCCGCCGTGGAGAGCGGCACTTTGTTCATGCCGGGCCCTGCCCCTTCGCCGTAGTCCACATACGAGCTCGTGTTGCAAACCCGGATCGACGACTGGCCCGGCGAGTGGATGGGCTGAGAGGTGATGCTGATGACCTGCTGCACGAAAGGGGCAATCGCTGCCGCTACCACGAGGATGAAGCATCCTACCGTCACCAGATGGCTGTGCATTTGATTAGCTTGATTTTGTCTGGTATTGTGACGGGGCCTACCGTGGGAGGAAGCGAAACAAGACGAAGACCGCGTTGACAGCACCACGACTGGCAGCGTCCAGCACTGCCAAATCGTTGAGCTTGTTTTGTCGGTTGAACCACGACCATTTGAGCTGCGACAACCCTTCAGTGATTGGGTAGACCATGGCCGCCTTCATGACCGTCACGAGTAGCGACACCAACGCGTTGAGGGTGATGCCGTACGGCCAAGCCGGCATGGGTTTGCCGTCGTACGTGTGCAGGACGACGATGATAGCTACCAGAGCGCCCACCGCGATGACACAGCTCCCAATCTCAAAGACCCAGCCAGCTCCCCATGGGCCAACCGCCCGGGGCTGCAACAGCATGGTTGACAAAGGCCGTTTCCGCGTGGGGTTCGCCTCCCCGGGTTCGTCCACTTTGTGGTACCCCAGCTCATACTCCTCCTTGAGATGTCTCATCCTGGCTTGGCTGTTGACTAGGAGCTGGGTAAATGAGAGGACTAACACCACATTCAAGTTGATCCAGACATGGCGATGGGGGAAGATGAGGGAAATGGAGTCTTCATTTGACTGCTCGTGCCGCTTGGCGCACAAAACCCGCTGTGGCGGCGCGGCAAGTCGGTTCCATGGAAAAGGCTCCAGTTCGGGTCCAGTTTGAGGTCATGGTGAGCCAGTGTGAAACATCCTCATGGCTTGTTTGGGGATAGAGGCGAGAACCGGGGCTGGAAGAGGAAGTTGATTGGCATGATTTGCGCGAGGCCAAGGGCAGAATTTCCGCTTCGGGAAATTCCCCTGAAGGTCGGCTCTAGGGACCTGGCTCGTGATTGGTCATGTTTGAAAAAAGGTAAGCACGTGACCTGATCCCCGTCCGAATAAGGAACTACCGTGCTGCACCGTCCCGTGACTGCACTGCACAAGTACAGTTTGATAACGTGTAGTTATTTGGTATGATCTTTGAACAATCATTCATCAGGCTTGAGGCATGAAAGCTACCTGCCTTAGACTCCTCCCAGTCAAGTTCCCACTGCTGCATGTTGCATGTTCACACAAGTCCACGCAGCCGAGGACCATATACCAGCCACGTTGAGGAGTGCGCCGAACACTAGATAAAGCGACGGTAAAGAGGCTGCAAAACTTGCGTTTTTGACCATGCTTAGGGTACAAGCAAACACTGTAACCTGCATAGACATAAGCTCAAGGCAGCTCTTCAATTACTGCTAAATTAAGCCTCTCCCTGAATCAGTGGAAAATATGCAGCGTGCATTATTTCATGTCAATATATAAGTATCAATCTGCGTAGACAGCAACACAAAGTAAGCATGCATCTGTAGTGTAGTCTCCAGACCAAACGGTAGATTACCTATCACTTGGCTAACAAGGTCATTTCCAACGAGGACGTCCCAGAGTATAAAATCAAGAGCGTAGAGCAGGTTCAGCGGCGGTTCCGGATTGAACTTCTGCAAACCTCAAGCCCCAACGCTTGGGGCCCTTGCTTCCTGCGATCTGCACTTCCTGCATACCTCCAGCCTAGTGAAGTGGTCTCTGCACCAGCACCCCAGGCTGCAACATGTGGGACAATTTTTAGGTAGCAAGATTGAAAAGAGGTCGCAATCCGAATCAGACTACAAGCACCGACTCGTATGAAACGAGAATCCTCTGAATGGCAGGCCTGTTGTTTCTGAGGTCAATGAGATCGACAGTCGCGTAAGGGAGGAAATAATATCGGCAGTATGGTGCTTGACCTAGCTCCGGAGACAGTGAGTGTTCATGGTTAGCATAGCTAAGGCAACCAGAAAAGGAATCAGAATTCTCTTCGTGGGAATCAGGCGACCGTAATGAAGGTGTTAGTAAGGACTGTGTATTCGTCTTCTATTAGTGCAAAAGATTGCGCAAGCGTGTTTTAAAGATATGTGCGAACCCGGTAGCGTGCGGCCGTTTCACCTAATGGCGCAACAGACAAGGCCGAAAGTGGGTTCATTTAGGCATCATTCAATCGTTAGCAGGTGTCTGAAAAGCTTGACTTGACAAGCAGCGGCAGGCCAGTCGATCCGTGGGTTGCTACCCCGCGAGTTTGAGCAGACCATGGCCAAGTCTCAATCTGATAATCATTGAGACTTGAGTTGATTCCTTGGCTTTCACAGTGGAAACCTGATCATTTGCAAGGGATGACATAGTGGTCACCGGCCAGTTGACCGGCCAGTTGACCACGGGATGAACCACAGCAAGTTAGGGCTGTCACCTTGATTTGAAAAGGGCCACGGAGTTACTGCAAATAACTCTACCAGCTTGTAGATTCATGCGCCATGTTCACTCGCGTGGTAAGTGTAGATGTAATGGAAAGCTAACCGGCCACGACGAATCGAGAACTGAGGGTGGATAGGCAACGCGTCCCAAACAAGGAATTGGTTGGACGGAGTGGGCCCTAAAGTGGGGAGCAAAGCGGATAGCTTCGTCTGATCTGTCGACTTATCGCTTTCAGGTGGCTCCCCTGGCCAGGGGAACCCGGCAATTTTGTGGCCGATTTAACCCCCCTTCTTTTTTTCCATTTGGGTTCTCTGCCACCAACCTTCTTCTTCCCGTCTGACATCTGTCGGTTGGCTATTCCGTGGCTGAGAAAGGATCATCTCTAGGATGTTCCGTGCAGGAGTTCCAGATGATCTTGGTGTTCGTCCAAGGAACAATTCCCCTTCCCCCTTCACTCAAATTCCACCGATCCAATGAAATCGGATTAGTGTCTTTCCCTTGTTAGCGTGCGGTTTCCTCCCAGCGCGATCAATTCAGAAGCGCTGGTCCCAACTCCTACAGTAACCTAACAAACCTGCCTTCACCCCCACTATAACCACTGAGCCACCCCCGGCTCTGCCACCAACAACCCCCCCGGGCCCTTCACGGGCATGCAGTCCACGTAACCCGGCACGACCAGCGGGAGGACATAGAGAAGGAGCCACGAAGCAGAGACTCCGCCCGTTACGTACGACAGAGCGGGCCTATCAGCCCCAGGCGTCGTCGCGCGGACAATTGCACCCGTCGGAATGGCGTGGATCTCGCCCCGGAAGGCCAAACTGACCAACTGACCTTCCATGAAGCTCCTATCCAGGAGAGAGGAGGACAAAAGAGGACCAGGAACTAACGCGAAGGGAAATTGTGCTAATTATACTACCTCCATCAAGGCATCCGCTGGGGCTCCAGCCCACGAGCGGACACCGCAGAATCCGTCTTAGTGTTTGAATAGCGTCGATCTAGCTATTTACTACTCGTCCACCCCTTCTCCCATTTCCGTTTCCCTTCAACTCACATTCGTTCTTCCCCCCTCGTATCTCCATTTCACTCGCTTGATTTCACCTCCAGTCTCTCGTTTTGCTGCCATTGAGGTGTTTTTGTCATCACTGAATCAAAGTTTTCTGAGCTTTCAAAGGTTCTTTTTCTTTCGGATCCGACGCACTGACACGATGATGTTCGAGGGAGTTTTGAGCTGGTTCCGCCCTGCGGAAGCCGAGGTTGTGCAGGAGACCAGCTGGGATCCCGTTACCTTGACCATGATCCAACCCAAGAGCCCGGTCGCTCCCACAACAGACGAGATTGTCACCGATCAACCGGTATGTTTGGATCGGTCATGCAAGTGATGCAAAGTATATTGCGCAGGACACTAATCCGACTGGGCGATGGCAGATTCTCGGAGAGGGAATGGACTTGCGACTCCGCGGTGGTGACAGTGCTGAGGACGGGTAAGTCGCCAGCAAACCCTAACCCGGCCGACATCGCCTACTGTATCACTAACCCCAACCTTCATGTTAGGTGCTGCTTCTGCTTTCGTTGCTGCAGCTGTCTTGATTCCTGCTGCGCCCCTGACGACGGCCCCGGCCAACGGCTGTGAGCCATCGATCGCGCCTCCGACCACGCATACATACGTACCGTACATACATCATCCCTTTCTCGCCAGCCACTGCATCCGACACGTACCAGCCATCCCTCAGAGTGATTTATCGGGGGAGTTCCTTCATACATAATGTCTTATTCTGCCCAGTCTCAACAGCCGGGAAGACGGGTGAATCGCCAAACTCGTTCGCTCCATTATTTCTCTCGTTCCGCATACTTCTTATCATCTGTGTATAATATTCGTTCTCTGTCATGACTTGCATCAGCCGCAATAGATTTCCTTGGTTCGAACCACAAATGGTTCATTCAATAACTAGCTTCTAATCGGATACATCGATATATCACAACTATAGCATTCTGAGTAACGGAGTGGGAAGATAACGATAGCCGGATATCGTGCGATTGAAGCGACCGATTTTCTCTTTCCACGAACACCACGAATATGACATAGCCTCTCTCGGTTTGCTTCGACAAAGCTTGTGTCTGTGGACTAAGTTACGCAATTGCGCGAGCCGTCGCGGAGATCAATCCGAGCTCGTAGAAGCGAGTACCGCTGGAATATTTTCCGGCGTCACAATTTGAGAAAGATTAGTGGATGGATGTAGTTTGTAGAGCCCAGGAATAATAGATAATAGTCGCTGTAGGGAAATCCTCAACATCCAGGAGGGGTATTTGACCTAGTCACCTAGCAAACAAATGCTAAAGCTAAGATGTTTATCTAAATGATCTTCGATGATGAAAGAACTGATAAGTAGCCGCTGAACGTCGAAGATCTTCACCCAGTCGAGGATCGCTTTGCGATTAGGTACAGTACTCTATATCAGTTGCCTACTATTGGCGCGCGAAGCGTTAGTTGTCTCATCTAAACCATGGTCCAGGGTATAACGGCTAACAAAAGCGAACTATATATCGACTCGACCGGATTACCTAGTGGTCGAATCACCCGGCATCATTGGTCTAGTGGTAGAATTCATCGTTGCCATCGATGAGGCCCGTGTTCGATTCACGGATGATGCACATCTTTTTTTTCTTTTTCTTCGCCTCATCAAGGGTACGCCAGTCCGCGTTCTTCTTTTGTTATTGTGTCTCGCTTTGCGATAGATAAAAACTGATTTTGATCTGTATCATACCGTGCCTATTGTCATGTCAAGAGTTATATAGCGCCCATTGTTGTGCATAAGCAATGTGTCCGCAGAGACCTCGACGCAAATATAGTTCAGCGCGACCGAACCACCCCCGGATTGGCTCCCAAAATAGACGAGAGTTAAGTTAACCTTCCGCAACAATGAAAAGAAGACCGTATTCCCATCACATGACCACAAACAAGGAACCCTTGGTTCCCTGAACCCTCGTGTCGTCATGCGATCATGTGCACCGTCAGGTCGGAGCTCCATATAACCAGCGCGCGCATCGAAACTACGAACGCATCCACCACCTCCACCCCTATGTATCATATTAAACCCACCCCATCCACAACATCACCACCCTAATCACCCAACGCAACAATGACCTCTTCCCCCACCAGCCGCAACGCCGTCGACCTCCTCACCAGCCTAGCGGCCATCATCACCACCATCGCGACCAACCTGCACGCCAACCGGCTCGACCGCGCGCGCCTCCGCGCCACCCTGAAGGAATACGCCGCGCGCGCCGAGTCAGACGGCAAGCTGATCAATGCCTCGCGGCAGTCGCAGCGGTGCGTCGAGCACGGCCTGCTGCTCGCCTACGTGCACATGGAGTTTATTGCGAGCTTGCTGCGCTACAACCTGACCATCCCCGCCACGGCCGTCAAGTGGTACAGTGTGCGCTCGCTGCTGCTCAAGCGCTACCGGCTCTCACTGTTCGGGGTCGCGGCGCAGGTGCGGGACCTGCGCGCGCAGCTGGAGAATATTCAGAATAAGGCCGAGTTGCTGTATGCGGATTTCGCGGAGGGTGGGGTATGTGCCCCCGTAGTGGAGATATATTGTTGGGGATAGGGCTATGAGCTGAGACTGGTTGGATAGGTGGAAATCCCCGAGACGCCGATTCTCTATCGCAAGGTGACGGCTTGTGAGCCGGTTGGGGCGCCGCCGGAAGGTAAGTTTTGTTTGTGTATGCGTGTGTTTCGGGTGGACTTGCTGATATAGGGCTGGGTATAGCGATTCATGATCTCCTTCGTCGTGGGACCCTTGCTGAGCAGGAGTTGAGCGGGAAGATTCCTCCTTGATGGTGGTGGGGAGATTTCCAGGGTTCTGGACTTTAAGCATTGTCTATTCTATGGGAGTTTGGGCGAAAAGTACCTCATGAGGTAGTTCTTGCTCTCAAAGCGGGAGATAATTTTTAGTGGACGTGATATCAGGGGACTTGATCCAGATTGCTGGTATTTGCGATCACAGATGCTCTCTCTAACATTTGGTATGTAGTTCTTCTACCCTTGTTTTTCTACATCTCACGATGTCTCGCCCTTCAGACGCTTGGTCAGTAATGCAGGTCGATCGCTGTCAGGGGAGTCAAGGCCGGAGGAATGATGTGATTTCTTCGCTTGTTGATCCCCGCAGCAGTTGGATTTGATAGTCCACATACCTGGAATAGCAGGTTGCACCAATGACTCAAGAGAGCTCTTACCTGAAGCAACAGTATGCCTTGAATTATCGTATATCTCTGCCGTCGCTCGCCTTCTGAGCACCCCGGGCCTCTCCAAGAAACGCTGGTCTTTTGATGCCCTAGGGGGTTCTGAAGTACTATGCTCATGATGATTCCTAAATTGATCAATAGCGGTAAACCAATAACAAGATTGCCTTAGTCATAAGGCAACAAGGTTTTATTTACATTGGATAGACTAGTTAATTCTTCTCCCCTAATAAACTCTATATAATCTTTGATTTCCGCCATTTGTCAAAAGGGGTCTAGTATGTAGTGGAGTCCATAAGTACAGAGACAACCTGCAAACCAAGCTTTCCACAACCAGTAGCTTGCTATACTAACCACTTCGTGACTTGTTAAGCCCTAAATGAATATTCATGAGGAATCAAGTTAGGGCGTGCCTGAACTTGTATCGTAAATATGCAAGATCTTACCGTTCGGATTACCAATTGTCTACCCTCGACCGTAGTCGCAAGTCTCTCTGGTTCAAGCCGTTCTCGTAGGAGACACCAGGGTCGGATGCGCAATGTCTCACTTTGGAGGAACAGGCTGAATTTCCATCCAAAACCCAGATTTCTCCAAGTCTGGATTTGGGGTCCCCTTTCGAGGATACGGACGCCGAGTTGCATTCGACTCTCACATGCTGTTCTGGTACGGAGGAAATACGATGAGGTGATTCAGGATCTCTTGGAGCACAAGGTGGGAGACATTCCTATGTTCATCTGAGCATCATCTGCTTTGTCCGTCCGCACCTTGGCTGTATAAATTTCTTCTCACCACACAATCGACGTTGCTTCCAGATCTCTAGTGAGTAATTCGTATGGCAGCGATGTAACAATCTAGCCGGAGTTGATTGGGGGCACCGATCAACTTCGTCAGCATGCCTGAAGCTGTGTACGTAATCTGAAATATCAGTACAACCGGCATCAAGATCTGGGGCAAGATGATCACTTATTCGGCTTCTGTGGGGTAGGCATCAATCTCATCTCCTCCAGGCCAGTACTTGATATAGACCCTACATTAGATGCAGAAACGAACGTGCGGAGATCTCCCGGTCTGGCGCGCAGTACCAAGTTCCGTCATTCCAGTGAATGTGAACATAGGGATTAGGCAATCTTACTGTAGCGTTCATTTTCTTTCACACCTTTTGAAGTAACTCCGATGTACCATCAATCAATCCGGCCCCATCAATTTCCCCATCAGGCCAGTCCCACGCCAACCCGATTAGATCCAGAAGCATACGAGCCCTAAAACCTTCTATCCCACCACAGCAACTGTAGTTATAGTACAATATACTTTCTTACCTTCTGCGCATGATCAGCCTCCGGAAGAACTACAACCAGTGTAACAACACAACCGTTTATTCTCCGACCCGAGAACTGAGAGCAGTATAAAAACCCGACGAGCCACCCCACACTATAACGAACACCAGCCCCTCATTATTCCCCCAATTAGCCCAGAATAAGCAATTATCGAAGAAATACCTCTCTTCAATAAAACAATCTCTCATAAACTGAACCACTGTCGCACATTCAAACCCTTTCAACCCCTCCAAAGATTCCCCACTGAAACAATGCAACTTCTTCCAGGGATCCTGATCCTCCCCCTCCTCGCCCTCCAGGCAACAGCATGGTCGCTGACCATCTACTTCACCGACGGCGGCCACATCGCCAGCACCGGCCGCCTCAACTCGGGCTGCAAGGCGTACGACCTCCCCGTGCACAACCGCCAGGTCAACCGCGCCGTCTTCAGCGAGAGCACCTTCGCCGACACCTTCGAGCTCTTCAGCGACAAGGACTGCCGGAATCGCGTGTTCCGGGAGGGGAAGGGCAGTCATCGCGTGCAACCGCCGCGGCGGGTCAAGGCTTATAAGGTTTATTGAGCCTTTTCTGGGGGTTTGTCGGGTAAAGGGCTTGGGGGTTGGGGGTGAGGTTGGTTTGTGCGTGAGTTGGGGGTATAGTGGGCGATGGTGGGGTATGGAGGGTTTGAAGGAGCTAAAGAGCCGGGTTGGGTGTGTTTATGGGGTCAAAGGGCAGAGACCGGGGCGCTTTTATTTTTTATTGTATGTGTCTTGTCTTTTCATCTAGTGATTGGATGGAGTTTTGGACTAGGTGGCTTAGGTCGATCAGATTTGATTAAGACAGTATTTGTTGGCTACAAGAGGATTGATAGTAGTAAAGGATGTAACAGCATGTAGACTATCGACTCAGTCGAGTACGAGGTCTATGTCAGCCCGGTAGTGTGTCAAAATTAAAAGGCAGAATTACATACAGGTTGATACAATACATGTGTAATCCGGATATAGGGAGGAATATATGAGCATCAATTTCGTTCGATTATGAATGTCTTGCAGCAGGTCAGAAATGGAGGCGTCATTAGTCGAATTGGCCCGACCGATATCTAAGACCAGAACCAAGGGATTTTTTCAAAAACTCTGCAGATGAATTTCATCGACAAACAAAGAGACCTACGAACTTACTGAAGCAAGCAAAAGTTGCCTCCCTACTGCAGCTCAGGCTCCGACGCCGGCGACGCTCCAGGCGGCGCCACCCAAAAAATATTCTTCGGACACAGGACCTTAAACTCACTCAGAATTTGGTGAATGGCCGCCATCTCCCCCACGATCCGATACTCGTTGAGGGTCAGGTTCTCTGCCTGAGTCAGGGGGTTGATGGTCCAGCCGCGCTTGTAGATATATCCCTCGGGCGGGGGGAAGAGCTGTTCCAGAGCGTTGACGATGTGCTGGAAGTAGATTGGACGTGTCATGGTGGGGGTTTTGAGTTAGAAGGTCCGGGACTTACCGGCTATCTTGTGGATACGGAGCCTGGTGATGAGAGGGTGTTTGGATGATTTTGGGGGAATCATATATTCTTTGAGGTATCAAAGATCCTGGAGATTTTTGATGCAGGTTCTCTTGCACAAAGAAAATAGCTGTGATCCTGAGATAGTATGAGGGAGTTTCCGGTTATATCGTTTTGACTTAGCCTCCACCTGGCTCTTAGCGGCAGTACTACAGGAAAACACCGCGGATCTTTTAGTTTCAGATGAGAGAGATGCAGTAGAAGACATTTCACAGCACTTGGTACCCGGTGAAATGACCCCTTTTCATATGCAGAGTCAGAGTCGGGTAATGTATAATCCCGCGATAGTATGCTCTCGACGAACGAGAGGGGTTCGACCTTGGAACTCGGAAATACGACTGAATCCGAAAAGAAAAATTCAATTCCTCACTGATGACGTCGTGTACAGGAATCTGCTCTGCTGTTAGCATCTGAATTGGCTGGTTTAAGATCTCTCTACCCCGAACGACGTCAGGGATCCAAGGCACTCACTGTCCTGTACTTGGGGCATAAAACAAGGCTTTGACTCCAAATGACATTATGGATTCTGAAATTCCAGTAGAGATATGGAGCTTAGATCTGCGCATCTTGCAACGAGGGTCGATGTGAGAAGGTGGGTAAGCATCCAGGTGAATTGGAGTTGACACTCCCTTAAATGTTGGATGTGTTACCTTCCGCCAAACAGCCATCACCACCACCACAACAACAACAACGACTTCATCAACAACACACCCTCGTCTTCCTCCTCTCTCCACATCTCGCCTCTATCCTTCTCTTCACCAATCCTGTGCATTTCGAAGTCCCCCTATTACCCCGACTCCCACCATCAAAATGTCATCTCTCCAATCTCGAGGAGTTAGAAATTTCCCAAACGCCCAGTTCCTCCACAAGCACAAGCTACGGTTCGAGTTCGCCCAATCTCATAAAGGCGAGAAGTACCCCTCAACTAAGCATCTTCGTGCCGAGCTTCTTCAACTCTTCAAGGTTCAGGGACACCACCCAGCAGAGGGGCCAATGTTCTCATTCCCCCATTCCCCCGCCTACGCTCCCTGCACAACCCCGTTAGAGCACCTCATCAAGATCATGGTCGATAACTTGAAGCTCGAAACCCACCACCGCAGGCAGTACATTCTCCTACGGACACTGACACCAACCGACTTCCTCGTCGCTGTGGGAGCTGTCGCGGAAGACGAGGCGGGGAATGTGATTATGCTGCAGCTGCATAACCAGGAGATTGAAGTCTTCGCTCGGGGGGGATTATCTAAAGGGACGGTGCTGGTTGTGATTGAACCGTATCTACATATTCCTGGGGTCAGCCCTTGTGCGATCCGCGTGGATCATCCTTCTGACCTGCGCATTCTGTCTGATTGGGACATTATGGTGCCTGTGCATTGGCGCCGACAGTTGGTTGGGTCCGAGTTGAGTGCTATGCAGTGGAAGGCGAAAGGAATTGATGCATTCAATGCCGGGGAATATCGTCGTGCAATCGATTGGTAAGACACGCGGATTACGATTTCTTGCGCACAGAAGCTAATCACCGAGGACAGCTACACTCAAGCTCTATCCTCCTCACTCATACCGGACGAGGCTCTGACCATCTCAAGCTCAACCGCGCTCTGACCTTCCTCCGATCACATTGGTTTGACGCCGCCCTTCGCGATCTAGAACCACTCCCCCAGTCCTCGGAGAAAGCCCTCATCCGCAGAGCCCAAGCGTTGAAGAATTAGGGTGTCGTGACGGAGGGTCTGGTCGGGTGCTGGATGACCCTTGCGCATTCGTATCGCAAGGTGGCGCCGGCTCTGGCCCCGCAGGCTCAGGAGTTTGCCAAGGTCACGTATCGGATTGTCGTCGGGGAGGATGAGACTTTTGGGGAGACGTTTGCGTGGCGAGCTGATTCGCCGGATGGGTTTCTTTCTCCGAAGCGGCAATTTCTGGGAGTTTGACCTCTTGATGTGGGTTTAGGTGTGATAAGATCCCTTGTGTGGTGGTAATTGATTTGTGGTGACGGGGTTGTGGTGGTTGATGTCGTGGAGATCCTTGCTGCCATGCTTAGCTTGATAGCACAGACGACTCCGTTGTAACAAATTCAAGAGTTACAGACATGCACCTACGACCTAGAACTCCAGGTTAACCCAGTACCATTCTGCTATGCGCGACCTCGAGAATAAATAGCCCAACACAAGCTATACTAAACCCACCACCCCTTCCCATCCCCAACCCTAACCCTTCCTCCCTCGTTGCACCCAGACCAACCGCGCATAACAACCCTCTCCACCACTAAAATCAACCCTTCTCACCCTCTAAAAGGTGACAGTATTATACGGCCCCTACCATCTCCAACCCCAGCATCAGCATCAGCACCCACCCCTACCCCTCCACCCCCAAGAGGAAGAACTCACCGCGTTCTGACCCCCCTGGTTCTGGCCCATACCAACATCCTGGTTCTGATCCAGATCCAGATCCTCCTGCTCCTGCGGCTGCTCAACAGTCCCAATACAGGTATCATCCCGACTGACCCCGTTGTCCTGGCACGCGTCGCGACGGCACGTAGTCCGGTAGATCAGATAGTCCTCGTCGGCGGTGCACAGGTACAGCGAATCCAGCAACTGATGGGAGGTTGGGGCGATTCCCTCGCGCTGGAGGGCGGTTTGAATGTCTTGGGCGTAGTTGCCTATCCATGGTAGTAGAAACGAGATGGTTAGTTACTATTTGCTTGATCGATCAGACATTAGGGTTCTGGGGCTCTAAGGCTCTAGGGCTCTGGGGTTATGCTTGTGCTTGTGTTTGTGCTTATGCTAGATTCGGGTTTGAACTTGGAAGGAAATACCCTTCTTGACCAGGGAGGTACCGCAGTAGGTCATGCCCTGGGAGCAGCGGATGGCGACGGCGCAGGAGGCGGCGCCCAGGATAGCGAGGATGACGGAGGTCTTCATTTTGATTTTTGGGAATGGAGTCTTCGGTAGATGAAATGAGATGAGATGAGATGAGATGAAATGATTGCAATGGGAGATGCTGTTGGATGATGAAGGTGTGATTTGGGAGGACTCTTCGCGATATTTATGTCTGCTCTTCAGCTATGAAATGCTGGTGAATGGCCTAGATCATGGTTATGAGGAACGAAGCTATTGTTAGCTGTTGCTTGCTTTGTTTGTGCGGAAGTGACTATCGCTGCAGGCGGGTCGCAGAGCGCAGGATGGTTGGCGTGCGACGTTAATACCTGTATCGCTGTGGGAGAGGCACTAAATATGAATCATGGCAGGGCATGCAAGCAATATTTGTTAAGAGAGTAATACCGCTTCGTAGTCGATGGTCGGGATCATACCACTGCTTCGATCGTGTCGAGTCCAAACAAGCTTGACACATGCGTATGGTTTCGCAGCTGACGAGCTATACCTTACATTGTGTCAGGAACGTCTATTCAAAGCATCACTATATGCGCCGCATCATGCATGTCATGTGTAGTCTGTATATGACCGGAGCCCGGAGGCAGGATTGCCGAATCCGGCAAAACACGTTCCACCAGAAGCTCGGTATTGGAAACACCACATAATTGTAGTACAATACACTCAGACTTATGGCATGCATGTGGCACCCCACTCACTCCACCAAATCTAGAACTACTCCGCAGCCTGCACCACCTGGGCCCAGTCCCCAAACCCATACGCCCCGGGCACAGCTGCCCCATCAAACAAGCTCGCCATAACCACGCGATCCGACTGCTCCCCAAGCCACGGCTCCCGACCATGCTGCGCCACAATATTATCAAACACCAGCACATCGCCCTTCTCCCAACGATGCAGTACCCGGATCTCGTCTGTGATCTTAGTCAAGTGCGCCAGATACTTGTCTGGAATCGGCGTGCCGTCCCCGAAGAGCTGCTGCGTGTCGTTTCTCCGTGCACCCGACTTGACCTGCCCTCTCTTCCAATACGCCGCCAGTCCTGTAAAGAGCGTGGGAAGGTTGGATTCCGGCTGCGTCCGAATAGCAGGGAGGCGGTGTGTGAGAACCAGCTGCGTCTGGCCGTCGTCGTCTTTTGACCATTCCCAGGTCGTGTATTCCCCGCGTCCGTAGCGCGCAATCTGAGCCTCCACCTTGCGACGCTTGGTTTCTTCATCATCACCTGACTGGAACTCCTTTCCGAAGGCCTGACGCAGTGTCGAGCCGCCTGCAAACTGTTGCTCAAGCTTATAAGTCACGCGACTGAGGACGCCTTTCTCGGCTAATTCGTCGATGAAGTCTGGGATCTCACGCTGGGCGCGGTTGAAGAGCTCGAAGGAAGAGGAGATTGGCGATTCACCGCCCTGCATTGGCGCACGATGGCCATAAAAGAAGACGTATTCTGGTGCGTGAGAGACTTGTGGAGACTCGTTGTGGTTGTAGATGAGAACTTCCTTGGGTGCTTCATTGGCCGGCGCCACATTAGGTGCGAGCAGGGGTCTATCAACCACAATACCAATAATTTCGTGTGGTTTGTAGCCGAATGCGTGAGCGAATTTGCTGAAGTCCTCTGCATTCTGAATAGGCAAGTCACGGAAGAGAATGGTTCCATGGCGTGCGAGATGCCTCGTGAGGCTGTTATCTTTTCTTTGAAGAGATTCGATAGTGGCGATAACACCATCGAGGGTAACTTCAGCGGAGGTCTCCCGCGAAGGACGCAATGCAAGTGGGATTACGGTCCCCTTTGGGTGAGGAGGTCCAAGTAGACGCTGATTAGACGTAGGGAGCTCGAACGACTCGAAAGCGACCCAGCCTTCCGACTGTTGCCCATCCACTGAGAGCTCTCCGATCTGGATCTCTTCCGTGACTGTGGCCATTTCAGTGATTCTGCAGTCTTTCAGGACGATCCGGTTGATAGAATGTAGGCGACAGTTGAGTTGTAATTTCTAGCTCATCCGGGAACAAGCGGGGTAAGTTCGCTCTTTTATCTCACAGGGTCACAAAGCAATGGAGAGCTGCAATGATTGGTGTCGATATGCTCCAGACCGGGATTATTCGCTGCCAAGGTGTGCTGAGGGGTATGTTTGCTTGTGCCATGCATGGGCACGGTTACGTGATCAAGCACCCGATAGAAACGATCTTCGTGTTGGCAGACATTAGTCAAGCCCCTTGCATCTGGAAGAACAGACAGCGACTTAGAAGTGTCTCGCACTTGTCATCATGGCGACAATTCTAAAAGTGAATCAGGAAGCAATCATGACTGACATAGCGAGTATGTCCGACTCTCAACAAGAGCGTCAACAAGCCCATCTCCGAATCTTCCGAAGCACGCTCTTCCAAATCCTCGTCGTCGGGCTTTGCGCATTTTGTGCTCCTGGTATCTGGAGCGCCATGAATGGCCTCGGAGTTGGCGGCTCTCAGAGTCCCAATCTTGTCAACGCCGCAAACGCTCTTCTCTATGCTTTCATGACAGTCACCTGCTTTGCAGGTCCATGGGTGACCAACCTCATCGGCTTTCGCTGGACCCTCACGCTTGGGTCCCATTGGTTACCCGCTGTATGCAGCAGGACTATACCTGAACAACCGTACGGGTGTCACTTGGCTCGTTTATTTTGGCTCAGTGGTCTGCGGTATCAGTGCAGGTTTCTTTTGGAGTGTCGAGGGGGCCATTGCAACCGGCTACCCTGAGCAGCACAAACGCGGCCGCTACCTAGCAACGTGGTTCACCTTCCGGAACTTTGGGAACATTATTGGCGGAGCGATTTCACTTGCTCTTAACCACGACGTCAACCATAAAGGCGAAGTCGGGTACCAGATTTATCTTGGTTTCATCGCCATTCAGTGCCTCGGCTTGGTGTTCGGGCCACTGCTGTCGAATCCAGAGAAGGTGCAACGCGACGACGGAACACGGATCGAAGCCCCTGGTGGGATTGAGTGGCATGAGGAAGGTCGAATCATGTGGCGACTAATGCGCAGCAGGTCAATCTTGCTGCTCGTGCCACTATTCTGGTACTTTGGCTGGATTCAAGCGTATCCGGGCACGTATCTCGCGACGTATTTCACCGTCCGGTCGCGAGCTCTGGGAAGCTTTCTGTCCGCTGTCGTAGGCACAGTGGCTACTTGGCTGGGGGGGTCATTGGTTGATCTACCTTGGTTGAAAAGCCGCAAGAAACGGGCAATCATCACATATATATTGATTGCTGCGTTGAAGAGCGCCACCTGGATATGGGCTGTGGTGATCCAAAACGAGTATCGCCATACCCAGCCGGTCCTGGACTGGGGCGATCAGCGCTCATTCGGACGGGGGTTTGGTTTGTATCTCTTCGAACGCATCAGCCTTGGCTTCGTCGAGAACTACATATATTGGTGCATCGGCAATTTGTCTGATTCCCCAGGCGATCAAATTCGCTACAGCTCGTTACTGAGGGGCATTGAGACGGCTGGCGTGGCTGTGGGATTTGGTGTCCAGGCTGTTCCGACCGCGCTGATTGCGACAGCGAGTATCAACTGTGGTTTGTGGTTTTTCGCATTGCCTTTCAGTTACTATGCCACTCTGCAGATTTTGCGGAAATTTGATAATCAAGCCAAGAGGGGCGATCACAGGACTGATGGATAGGAAAGTGAAGTAGAAGCTCCTGTCGATCTAGTTAATTTAGTGCTAAGTTTTACTAAGTGATGATAACACCTCCGACTCACTGCATTATGATTGGCCCATTGCATGGAATACCAATGATTCCACCGATTCTTGCCATTGACAAGAGTCAAACAAGCGACCGCGATGTTGCTTTGAGACCCGTGGCAGCTTTGTGACAATGAAAGATGATTTCCACACGACTCTGTATCCAGGTTTCTTGGGATGGTACAGATACCAGACTATTCTGGGCAGAAAGAAACATGGAGGCAGGTGTCCCGAGTGACTGAGTGAAGCAATTGAAAAATGTGCCTGTGAGTTTGTAGTCTTTGTCTGGTTGGCGTTATTCGTCTTGTTTGGTCTGTTTGGAAAGGTCATCACTTATCCACCGCTTCGTTCTCCACTCACTGCAGCATGTCAACGTCAACTACAACCGTGCCGATGGAGAGCCTCAAGGGTTGGGATCTCGAACTTTGTCCATATCTATGGGAGTAAGTACAGAACTTCCTATTTGAGGAAAGAATATGCTAACAACCTCTTGAGTAGGGATCGATCCTCACAGGAATTTCTACTTGCTATTTGTTTAGCACGGTTAGTCGATGTCAAAGAGCGCACGGGTGGGGTCCTACCCCTCCGGCAAAATATATATCACAACTGGAAATTCAAAATAAGGAATCCCAAGAACAATTCCAGAGCGTCCCACAACCCGGAGTGAGCTGATCAAGAGCAGATAACACCATCCGAGCACACCGAAGCTACATTCATCGCTAATCGTCTGTTGCTCTGATGATGGATGGCTCCCCCGTTGCGAGCACCAAAAAAACACACGAGAATGTGGAAAGGAATGCAAAAAGATGGTCCCAGAGGGGGTCGAACCCTCGACTTTAACGTTATTAGCGTTACGCTCTAACCAACTGAGCTATGGGACCCAGTTGATGTGAGAGGCCGGGCTTTGTGCTGTCACATTCGCAAGTCAAAGTGGATGAAGGTACAAAAATCGGAACCTGATCTTATGCACGCTTGCTGTCTAGGTACCCGGGCAACTCGTGCCTCCCTGATTTCCAACTCGTGTGGCTGGCCGAGGGAATGCGACCCACTGCCCCGGAACTGGCGGCGCCGATAACTGGAGCAGAAGGAATTGCGCCGATCGCAACCACGCCATAGTCAAGAAAGGTTAAGCATTCCGCGCCGTGCTTGTTTGCCTTGGCTAGTCCAAGCGAATTTGCCGACCATTTCTTCTCGCCAATGTCCCTGTTTTGCTGGCCATTGCACCATCCGTCGTCAAGAATCCGACACTGTCCATGACCCACGACGACAACTCGATGTCGTATGTTCGGCTGAGCTCGTCGACCAATTTCGCGAGTAAGACATTGGCAAGGGATAGGCAACAGCCAGAAATGGCGTGGCTGAGGAACACACCTTATCATCCAGCGGGGCAGGTTTACCCCGACGGACTCCGGACGAGGGTCGAGGGTAAACAACCCCATTCTTATCACGACATCGCTTACAGAGCCGAGCCCATATTGTCCGGGGTGCCCTGATTAATTGCACGACAGATAGCAGCAATCTGCAGGTCCCGTCCACCTGCATTAGCTTAACGAATTACGAAATGGGTTGAAGGAACCCCGTCGGTGTGCCTGCAGGCAGCTTCGATCCGACCAAACGATGAAGCTTCCTGCTGCTGGCAAACAAAAACCACGTCGATGCGCGATATGACCTCACCGAACCCCCCGCGCACTTATAATGGCGGTGTTCCCCCGACATTTCCCCAACCCAGTTGTGCACCTCCTGGGAAACGCTCTGTCTTGTCAAGATGCATACCAACGGCCTGTATACGGCACTCCTGTGCTCTCTGGCGGCTTCAGCCCAGGCCGTCGTTCACGAGAAGCTGGCGGCCGTCCCTGCCAGCTGGACTTACCTCGAGGATGCTGCTCAGGGCAACACCATCAGTTTGTCGATTGCGCTGAACCGTCAGAACCTGGACAAGCTTCAGGCCAAGCTCACCGCCCTTGCCACCCCTGGTGAAGCCCAGTACGGCCAATGGCTGGATTTGGAGGACATCAACAAGGAGTTCCCTGTGGCCAACGCCGACGCCGTCGTCAGCTGGCTGCGCAGTGCCAACATCACCCAGATTTCGCAGGATGGCAGCATGGTGAACTTCGCGGCGCCCGTCAGCACGGTGAACAAGCTCCTCAACACCACCTTTGCCTACTACCAGAGCGGCTCTTCCACCAAGCTGCGCACCACCCAATACTCCATTCCGGAGAGCCTGGTCGACACGATTGACCTGATCTCGCCGACCACCTACTTCGGCAAGGACAATGCCCAGGCGGAGCTGTCGAAGCTGACGGTGCAGCTCCCGGCGCAGCACACCAAGAGAAGCTCCAATTCTACCTGCGCCGAGCGCATCACCCTTTCCTGCCTGAAGGAGATGTACAACTTCGGCAGCTACACCCCCAGCGCCTCGTCGGGCAGTAAGATCGGTTTCGGCAACTTCTTGAACGAGTCTGCCTCGTACTCCGACCTTGCCGCTTTCGAGAAATACTACAATCTCCCCTACCAGGAGTTCGACGTTGAACTCATCAACGGTGGTGTCAACGACCAAGACCCCGCGACCGAGAGTGACGGCGAGGCCGATTTGGATGTCGAGCTGCTCGTCGGTGTTGCCCACCCTCTGCCGATAACTGCCTTCATCACCGGCGGTCTTGCGTGAGCCCCGCACTACTCTCCGAATGACGACAGCAAAGTAAGCTAACAAGCGCAGTCCTTTCATCACCGATCCCGATGAGCCCACTGCTGCGGACGACTCGAACGAGCCCTACCTCCCGTACTACGAGTACCTCTTGTCGAAGCCCAACTCGGCTCTGCCCCAGGTCATCTCCAACTCCTACGGCGATGATGAGCAGGTACGCTACCCCAGCCCATCACGGACCGCGTCCCTCACTAACCGCCCCAGACCGTTCCCGAGTACTACGCCAAGCGCGTCTGCAACCTGATCGGCCTGATGGGTCTCCGCGGTATCTCCATCATCGAATCCTCCGGCGACGAAGGTAAGCCAGCCAGCCCAGCCCAGCCCAGCCCAGCCACAAGCCTCCCCCCCCCCACACATGTCTCCCTCTACAAACCGTTCTAACACCAGAAAAAAACAGGAATCGGCTCCGCCTGTCGCGCCGGAGATGGCAGCAACCGCCCGCAATTCCAGCCGACCTTCCCGGCGACCTGCCCCTACGTGACGGCCATCGGCGGCACGCAGTCCTACGGGCCCGAGATCGCCTGGACGGGCAGCTCCGGCGGCTTCAGCAACTACTTCCCGCAGGCGTGGTACCAGCACGACGCGGTGGAGAAGTACCTGTCCCACCACATCGCCAAGGACACCAAGAAGTACTACTCGCAGTACGCCAACTTCAGCGGCCGCGCGTTCCCCGACGTCTCCACTCACAGCTATGATCCTCCGTATGTTCTGCACCCATACCCCATACCCCCAAGTGATGATCTAAGTCAGAAACCCCAACCCTGCTAACGCAAACCAGCTACGTGGTCGTCGAGGGCAACACCACCGTCGGCACGGGCGGCACCTCGGCCGCGGCCCCCGTCTTCGCCGCCTTGGTCTCCCTCCTCAACGACGCCCGCCTGCGCGCCGGCAAGCCCGCCCTCGGGTACCTGAACCCCCTGCTGTACAGCAAGGACGTGAGCAAGCGGTTCACCGACGTGACGCTGGGCCAGTCGGTCGGCTGCGACGGCACGGACCCGCAGAGCGGCGAGACCGTTCCGGGCGCCGGGATCATCCCCTGGGCGTTCTGGAATGCGACCGTCGGCTGGGATCCGGTTACTGGATTGGGGCTGCCGGATTTCGAGAAGTTGAAGGAGGTTGTGCTGAAGTACTAGAGTCTTCCGACGTTGAGACTAGAGTGGATGGACTGATGTTGTATATGTACTGTACATATTGCTAGGACAAAATAAATCCCACGTGAGATTGTGATACTTTCTTGCGCGAGCAGGACTTTGCCGCTCCCGCGTGATCTAGGAAGCGATGCCTTGTTGCAGTCACCAGGGCAGATGGGTGGCTCTCTTGAGAAGATGGGAAGGTTTCTATGACTCCTGAAGCTGCAACTCAAGCTGACATTAGTCAATGGGCCCGAAGACACTGGCTAGAAGGCGCTCCATAGGCTAGGATGATAGAAGTAAAGCAAGTCAAGTGGGAAAGGAAAGAAAAGTGATCTTCCCCGATTCATGACCTAGGGCCAGGGTCCCTTCTTTCCATGCCACACAATTTGGCCTATATTCGGCGGGTAAGAGAATTTTCCTTTCCCCGTCTATATAGATCCAGTGCTTTTCGTCGGGTTCATCTCCAAATGAGAACGAGGTATCGTTCATACACTGGACTGCGATCGTGGAATGAAGAAAACGGGAAATGGGCTCCTTGCAATGTCCTGTCATAGCTCTAAGTATAGGGGCATTCAATTGTATCGGATATGGTTTCCACAGGGTCCGCTCCGGAATGTAAAACTCGTCCTCGCCGTGGTGATGTAATCTTAGATGAACGCGGGGAGTACCTGTATCGGGATTTCCAAGCTCAAGAGAAGTGCAGGGCTCCATGAATCAAGCACAGTTAAAGTAGTGCAGCGTACCGTCCGGGGAGAAAGCAAAATATGCAGATTCCTCAACATCATAGTTGTCACGATAATACTCGATGTATTGTGGCTCGGAACTGTCCAGGTTCCAAAAGATGAGCAGTCCGGTGACAATTTTCAGGACTAGTAGCTCTCCATTGGGCGAGAAGTTGAGATATGTCCCTCGTTCTTGACGGTCAGGCTGTATGCGCCATATTTTCTGGCTCGGGCGTGTAGTTGCTAAAGCCTGGTACATGGTAATGTCCCCGAAACCGTCGACTACTATCAGAAGACGCCCATCAGGTGAGAAGGCCATTGCTAGAAGCTGAAAGTCGCCAGGCACAATTCTCTCAGTCCCTGATTGGAGGCAACGGATATGATTCCCTGTGACTCCATCCCACAGGTTGATGGTGCCGTCATATGAGCTCGATGCAACCACTTGGCCATCAGGTGAGAATAGAAGACGATCCACGGGTACAAGAGCAGGTTGTATATCCTCTGTAACCTTAATCATCGCTTCCGATGACCGATGTAGCTGGCCGATGGTGAGATCCCATAAGTTCATTGACGCCAAAGAGCTGGAGGCGAAAATCCTGCCATCACGTGAGAGGGCCAAGAGTGATGATTTATGCCGGTAATCATGCTTAAAGACCTGTGTAAGGTCAATAATGTACATGGCTTGGGAAATTATAAGGACGAGGGTCATCGTACCTGAAGCGAGGTTAATTTGACCCTGGTTTATTCCTACCCGGAATCCTGAATTATTGCCATGATTCTTCACTGAGTTGTACACAGAGCCCATTGTTTGAGGCGGGATTCCTGAGAAGAGAAAAAGAGAAGGGGAAGCGGAATGTTGAAGACTCGCAGCTGAAAGCCGATCACAATCCCCGCTATCAGGTGACCGGCCAACTACCTAGTGCTGATGCAGGCGTCTATCTTCACGTTCCATTGGCCTTCATTTGCAAGCAAGACAACCATATCTGTGGACTCGCTAATTATGCATACATGGAGTACAGTACAGCACACCACAGTACTGTGCCTGGATCTAGAAAGGAGAGATTGTCAGCTTAAGCGGTGGAAAGTCTCATGAATCCCAAAGCCGCGCTAAGATAACCATGATTGAAGAAGACAACTACACTAGCTAGTATACCACATCAACGTATAGAACATTCTGAACTTAATGTACAGTTTCCGTCAAAAGAAAAAAGATCGGTGCTATAAGCTACACCCCAGAATCTCAAGCACTCTGGGTAGGAGCAACACCCATGGACCCAGAAGGCTCACCGCTCATAGAGCCAGAGGGCATGGCATCACCGGAGCCAGAGCCACCACCCCCACCGAAAGCAGAGCTGTCAGAGTTCTGGTGACCACCAGTCTCGTCGTAATAAGCAGCAATGCTGTAGTAGGAATTATCGGTGTAATCGGCCGTGGTGTTGATACCAATTTGGATCCACGCGAACAAGCCATCCTCGAGGCTGTCACCGAGGTAGATGTACTCGGGGAAGGGGTCGTAGGCGGAGGAGGCCTGAAGGACACTCCACATGTCATCAGCATTGGTGGTGACAGCCTGGGTGTTGGTGGTGTATGGGTAGGTGTCCTCGACGGCGGAGCGGAGGACCTCGTTCCAGAACAGCTGGCCGATGTGGGCGACGCTACCGGTGCCGACCTGCAGGGTACCGTTGTTGCGGTTGATGGTGGAGTTGAGGTGGGTGAGGAGGTGGGTGTGGGTGGCGCGGCCATCGTAGTGGCCGGGGAAGATGGTGCTGAAGGTTACAACACCGTCCTCGTTGGTCTCCTGGATACCACGGAGGTAGGTCGAGTCCCAGCCATCGGCAGCATAGTTACCGCTGGTGGAGATACCACTGCCAACATGTTAGAAGATCCAATGTGTATAGAGTGAGTGTGTGGACATACCTGTAGACACCGGTGGCATTGGCATTCCAGATGTCAACCAGAGCTCCCTGAACAGGGAGACAGGTGTTCACGTCAATGTACTGCACCTCGAGGTAGACATCGACACCGTCGCAGTACTGCTCCTCCTTCACATTCTGACGGATCACCTCGCCCCAGACGTAGTAAGGGCCGTCGGTGATGGTAGGGGTCAAGATGGAGCTGGTGTTGGCGCCAAAGATTTCGGCGTCGGCGTTGAGACCGTGGTGCACAAGGCCGGTCTTGTTGTGGTTGATGGCTTCCCACTTCTCGAGGGCCGCGAGGTCACGACGCCACTTCTGGGGAGCTGATCAAGGGTTAGAGTCGGCGGGTCTCATCGACGCACGGATGCTTTGCTTACCGGAAGTGATTCCGCGCTTGGAACGCAGCTCGTTGGCAGTCTGCGCGCGACGAGCGACGCTGCGCTGCTGAACCTGCTGAGCAGCCTGAGAGGAAGAGCAAGCGTTCACACCCTGTTGGGCTCTGGCGGCCAAGGCATCGCGAAGGTGGATTTCGCGCTTGACGGCCTTCATGTCATGCTTCTCGCCCGGGTGGGCGAAGGCCAAGGTGGCCGCACTGAGTGCAAAGAGCTTGGAGAAGTGCATCGTGATGGTGGTAGGAGAAGAGAAAGGGAAGCAGGTTGTTGATTCTCTGTCTTCTGCCTCACTTAGACGACTGTGGTCTTTATATCTCCTCCATTCTCAGTGTCAACGATGGTATAGATGCGTTCCATATAGCCGCGTCATCTGGACCAGGGTGAGCCGTGTCGCTCTATCGATTTCAGCAGGTTGTTGTCGAATTGATTGGGAGACGTAAGCTCAGGATCTCGGCGGCACCCGCAGCCCTAGAACGAGGGCCGAATTCTTGGCCGGTCAACGTCAGGGTCTTGGCGCCGCGTACCTGGGATCCGCAGCATCTCAGGGAAGCGAGCCCTATTCAGAGGGTGATCGACGGCCACCACGAATCAGCGTGCGCTTATTACTGTCACTGCTTCTGAAGACCCTATCAACTCAGGGATCGGGCAGACTCCGTTGGTCTGGGGTATTTTTAAAGCTTGGCTGGTGCTGTTGATGTGTCGGGTTGCGAACCAAACAGCGTTGGCCGTTTCATTCTCGGTGCTAAGTAGTAAGCGGAACTTATTCCTGACCCGCTTCCAACTCGAGCCGTCACTTTGCCTGCGTAAATGGCTTTCTTGAGTACCTTTGTGCTGGCGTGCAATATCCGTAGCATCCGATATGCTCAAATTTATGGCGTTTCAGGATTCATCGGCAGTTATGCGAAAGTATTCGGCTGCATACTAAGTCGTCAGCACCGCAAGATGGAAGGAAATCTGAAGTTCCATGGTTGCGCCTAGATCAAACTTAAGCTTGGTGATGCACGTTGCCAATGCAGAGGTCTTGGGTGGAAATATGTGGTTCTTCAGATGCTTGCTGATTCTTCTCAAAACGGTAATGATTGCTGTTTTCTTGGCTCGGCCACAGCTTATTCAGTTAGTCGTTTCTTGTCCTTCCCACTGCATTACGCACGAGTCACTCGTCATCAGCAATAACCTGCAGATTACCTTACCTTTCCAGATACATGTCATGTATCTTCATGTTCCAGGCTGAAGAAGAGCTTCAGGCACGATTCAACCATGCAGACACATCTACTATTTGGCGTGGTGATAAAGTCATCAAGCTAGGTGTCGAAGCGGCTTTCAGCATCTGAACAAGCATATCATCTCGCAATCCCAATCGAATACTTCAGCGGTAAGCAAGGTGATAGATTGTGTCCGGTCGAGGGATCTTGAGTGGAAGTTTCTGGAAGGACATGCCGTCTACATGCCGTCTCTACGCCTGCTGAGCCAAGCGACATCCGATTGCCTCTGTTCTTTTGAGGACAACATTAGCTTCACTCATAGCCCAGGCTATCGCACAATAAAAGTTTATCTTGATGACAACAGCGTACACCCGGTCAGTGAGCTGCGATTTTCTGCCTCAAGGAGGCTCCTTCCAATCCCTCTACTGTCACCCCGATAGTCCACAGAGATAACATTCCGTTCAAGCGCCTTCTTGGTTTTTCTGTAAGCGTATTCCATATGTAGCCGTAACTTGTCGAAAGGGAGTGCGTCGGTCGACTACGTTTTGGCGTAGGTAAACATCGAGACTAAAACGCCTCCGTGCTGGACCATCACGCACATTCAAGATGTCTGCTCGGACCAGACGATAGTTGCCCGTTGCGCACCAAGTCACGCCGTAATATCCACGTGACATTAACGGGTATGCGACAGTGTGAAGTGCGAGCTCTGCACTGGGCGGTGTTTGTCCCGTCATGAATATTTCTCTCAGGCACGAATTCGTGATGTTTACATACTTCTTTTCTGTGTCGACTTTCCTGCAGCGCACTCTTGTAGTAGCTCGGCGTTCTTCTCTCCGATGCCAATAAGGAAGATGGGAAGAGCATCGAAAAAGCTGGATGTGAATGTGTTCAAACAATAAAATATTGGCCGTGATTCTTCATAAATCTGGCAATTCAAGGCCATGATTGCCAGGGTATTCTTGGAGGGATTATGTTGTAGCCGACGTCTCCTTGATAACAACCAGGGTAATGATCATGGCGTTGAAAATGATGAACAACAATCTCCTGGGAACAAAGCAGACGTTCGTAGACCATCAATCGCAGTTCTATATCATTAGCCCTTTTGATATTAGTCAAAGTCTCAGTTGAGGTACAATTGATAGGAGTCGGCAGTTCATGCTTGCCGAAACACTAGGCAGTAACAATGCGGCGACACGGAAATGCGGCAAAGAGACAACGGACCTACAGGAAGACGGAGAAATGGAAAGGTAGTGGCGCTGATGAGCAACATGCTCGAGGAACCGGCGGCGAGATTGGATGACCTTGGCACAGGTCCAGGATTTGTATCTCAGATAATCAGCATCCTCATAGCTTATTTGACGAGGCTGATGTAAGATCCTTCAGATAAGTCCTGAGCTGGAAATTTGGATCCAAATTTGCGGAAGGATTTAAGTCATGAACAAAAGTAGTTTGTTTACGCGTGTGGGGTTTTACGGCGTGGATGTGGTTGTACTGTACTACTTCACGTGATTGACGCGGGGTGTGTTTGATCTCCTCTGCAGGGCTTTCTCTCTCTTCTGCACTCGTCACAAGCGTCCACACGATGACTGAACTACTTCGGCTGTTGGCATGCAGTACCCATATCTCATATTACTGACAAATTACGGATAAATAATCGATCGGTATACTTGATAACACATGGACGTCCTTCACCTGAGTGGTCCTAGTCATGAGAATGGCTGGCTGAGGAACTCCGCAACGGTAGCTGGGATATTCAAGGCAACCGTGACTCGTGCACACACCCCCTCATTTACGCGCTGATGGAGAGAATGCGAGCATCAGTTCAGCCAAGACAATTGGACATGCTGACAGCGTGGATCACCTGCAGCTCCAGATTCATAAGTCGGGGAACCCGCCCGCGAACGATCGGCAGTGCCTGAGCCCTGAACCCGCAGGTATGTGGCTTGCTGAGCCATTTGCTGCACCCACAGCTGAGATTACAGCGGGAAAAGACGAGCACATTGCAAGGATGATTTCTTCAGCTGCATACAACGTCATCTGCAGAGGAATTATAACCGACCAGAGTACCACGCCCTTCCCATTGTTCGACGCATGGTGATATAAGACACGGTCGTCCCCAGCAACCTTAGAACAAGAGCTGACTCGATACTCCACTCCTTTTTTACCTCTCTTCTTGCCAGCAGAATGACTTCCGCAACCTCAATGGACTTCCACCTCGCCGATGGCCGAGCCTACTCCCTCGGCCGCAGCAACGCAGCCGCCTCTCGTCTGAATTACCAATTCTACCTGTGGAAAGAATCCTTCGGCTTCAACCTCCACCCCACCATCGCTGCGTCGCTCCCCACCCCCAATCCATGCGTTGCCGACATAGCATCTGGAACAGCCATCTGGCTCCTCGACCTCGCCCCGGAGCTCCCCAACGCGACCTTCGAAGGCCTTGACATGAGCATGGCAGTGGCTCCGCCGCCCGAATGGCTTCCCCCCAACATCACCCTCCGCCAATGGAACCTCCACGATAATGTCCCCGCCGACCTCGTCGAGAAGTTCGACGTGATCCACCTCCGCTTGCTGGTTCTGGTGGTGGAAAACAGCGATCCAACCTCAATCATCCGCAAGGTGTCCCGCATGCTCAAGCCGGGCGGCTGGATCCAGTGGGATGACTACAACTATCAGGGCACACACGTGGTCAAGGTCAACCCAGCCCAGAAGACACCGGCTCTGGAGCAGCTCTGCGCGTTTCTGTTTTCGGGCGGCCGGCAGGACTGGGTGGTGGAACTTCCTCGCATTTATGAGAGGGAGGGACTTGAGAAGGCCCAGATCTTTCATTATCGGCCGCGACGGGAGATGGCGAGGGCGAATGGGGAGTTACATCTCTCCACGATTGAGGAGTTCGCGGCTAGGTTGCTGGAGGATGGGAAGGTGGAGGCGGGGAATGAGTTAATGAGGCTGGTGCGGCAAGGGCTTGTGGAGGCCGGGGCCGGGGCGGCCATGTCGACGCCTCGCGCGGTTAGTATTGGACGGAAGAAGGATCCGAACGGGGCGAAGTTGTAGACTTACGTTGCAGCGCTTGAGGAATCTAGTTGTGTGCGGTGTTTGAACACAGTGGGCAGGAAGCCCCTTTCTAGTATGGCTTCAGGCGATAAGTGCGAGCCATAGTGACTATCTGAAGTGGAAATGCGATACCTGTGTCATTTCCAAATTTCCAATCATACCACTATGTGGAGGTGGATCATGTTCATAGTGTTTGTGCGGGAGAGCACTGATACCTGGGGCACCCGGTACCCGCGTGCCGGTCCTGGCTTAGTGTGGGTGCCTTTCTATGAATAGGAGGGGAGTACTTTGCGTGTTCGGGCTTTCCTACAGCGTTCAAGACTAACCCACTGCTGTGTCAATCTCAATGCTTTGACATCCTCTTTCATCTTAACTTCGAGAATGCTACATTTGTTAGTTTATACTACGTCGAAAACGACTTTTATCTTCGCTATGTTGACGTAGAAGTCCAGCGAAGAGGCTGGATGACACCAGCAGACGCGCCTGGGAAGGCTGGAAATGTCTCCCGATAGCTTTCACTTATGCCAGTTCAAGTCTTTTGACCGTTCTGTCACTTAGCATTTGGTCTGGAACGTTCGACTTGGTGTAGATCGAGGTATAAGCCACATTATCTCCGTCTCGTTGTTCTCGGCATTAACCCGAGATGCACCAGCTCTTCCTCGCGCCTTGACACAGAGTCTACCAATCTCCCACCGATCCATGACCTTGTCAATAACAAGCTGTAAGCTACTCCAAATTCATAGGCTCCGGTACGGCCAGCGCCTTGTGCGTCTGCGGCACCACGGCACGAGCCACGAACAAACCCTGCGGATCAGCGGTGCGTCCAGCACGGATGGCAAAAAGCAAGATCAAAATATCTCGGACCGCACGGAGGCGGTCGTCCGGCTGGGAAAGATCGTAGGGCGCCGTCACCTTCTGCACGATGACGTCGTGAAAGTCGGACGGCTCGTCGGGCGACGTCACCCATTTCAGGTACGCCGTCGGGAAGCGTGCAGTGTGGATGCGGAGGTGGTAGTGCTCGATGTGAAAGACGAAGGCCTGTGTGGTAGGGGGCGTTATTAACCATTGAATCAAGTCACAGTTTGGGCGAAAGGTGACTCGTGAGGAGGGATTAGATAGGTGACGCAACGAACATCATGATACTCGGCTCCTTGAGGAATCTCGTCCGGTTGTGACGACAGATCCGACGGCAGGACGTTGCCTTGTGTCGTTGGGACCTTCTCGTTCAGATACTCCATGTTGAGGACAGCGGCCGACAGCAGCTCAGCGAAGATCTGGGCGGTGGGAAGGCTTTGATGCTCCATGCGCTTGGCCTAGTTTCCCTCAATCATCGGTTAGCTGCACACTGCTCGAGACACTGATAAAAAATGATCCAAAAAACATGCCTCGAATCTTATTATCGGCTCTCCACCGTGACGACTTCTCTGGGAAGCGGCTAGTGGCTGCGTTTTGTTTATAGTGGCCCGGATCCGGTTGATCCCCTCACGTTTCTTATGGCCAGTCGTACCTCCGCGAGTGAGGTAGACATACCCGTCATCCTTGATTTTGCACATAGATTTCCCAACGTTTATTTCGGCCGCTGTACGGTGGGGGGTACTGGGTGAAAGAACGTTAGTGTTGAAGGGAGACCCGTCATGGGTGTTGACTGTAAGCAACAGACATACCTACGCCATTCATCTCGTCCCCCACAAAGAATTGAGAAGAGGAGCAGGATGACCTCCATGAATCGATGGAGAAGCCCTTCCGAGGAAGCCTCATCTTTATCTTCGTCTCGGGTGTGACTCTCTCGAGCCTGGGTCCCATCCTCATTCAGCTGTTCTGCTTCAATGACAGGGTTGCTTCGAGCCAGATGATCGCGCAGTGCAGTAAAGAACAGACACCAAGGGTTGAAGAGATACCATGACATATGAGTGCGGTCGAATCGGGCAAGGTCGTCACGGGTGACCACCGTGATTTCATTCAGAATGCGCTTGACAACTACCGGCCATTCTTCATTAGTTCATGTTGAACCATGAAACACCACCGGTCCAAACAGGTATTCTTACTGTAGCAATTGTTGATATCGCTCATAACCTTGGCACAGTTAAAGCCGCGCGGGAGAATGATGCCCATATCCAGGTCAAGCAGTGGAATGCAAGAAAGGTCATTCAGTTGGTTGATGCCCCACAAGGATCCGGACGGGCCTTCTGAGGTCGTGACCGATGACTGACTTTTTTTGGTGCTGCTGTCCGACTTTACTTTGCATGCCTCGAAGCCCTCTGAGATGCCCGCTCGCGTCATAGGCTTGTCTCCGTACATACGGAAGAAAAAATACGGCGACCTGACGGGATTAGGGCCATGCGAGAGTTTCCATGTACGGCCTCGGAGGCTGTTCGCTGCGTAGCCATCAAGCCCTTGCTTGACGGTATATGCCTCTTTCCACATGGCCTTGACCAGTGGACTGCCTTTCAAGCGCTCGAAGCTTTGTCGGCTCACCACGTTCGGCAGAGACTTTGGGTCTATCTCGAAATCAATGTCCTGGGCGGCATATTTTGGGTCGGGAATGTTCGTCTTCGTGAGGTAATCCGCAGGAGGCCTGACGTCCGATCAGAAGTGCTTTGGCAATAATTTGACGACGAGAAGTACCAATCCTTGACTATGTGATAATAGTGAGCATCCGGCAGCGGTCCGCTTTCAGGATTACCTGGCCGGAACGGCTGGCATGAGAGCGGTGGGGATGCATCGTTCCAGTAGGCCGGGTCTGCGGGAACGATCTTGTTGGTATATGGCTGGATATTCTGTGGATTCTGTGAAAACAATCCTTGCGAACTTGCGAGAGGGTCGGGTAAGATGTCAGTTTGTTCCCGGCTGTTGGGATCAATGATACTGAGTTCAGGTTGCAGGTTGTTCACTCTAGCATTTCCATTGCTGTTGCATGGCCTAGTACCTGACATTGTGACAGGGCTGCAGAGACTGCGAATGGTAGCGGTATTTTTGGATGGATTCGTGGAACGGTAGGCGTTGGGGGGTATATCTTAAGAGTACATCCCCCATCCATAAAAGCTGCAGCTGGAACTTCGGACTTTGTGGGTCAAGAACAACTTCCTCCCCTTCCGTCGACGCGTGGTTCCAGTGCCTCCATTATGGCAGACAGTCCAGACACAGAGAGGGGCTTTGGCTTCGACCCATTAATCCCTCGGGTGGTTCAGCAGGCCGCCAGCCGCGCCCCGATTCTTCTCCCCTGGCAGCCTCGCGTCTTGCCTCTGGGTACCTTCTTCCGATCAGCCGCCACTGCTAGTTCCTCCAACCCATTCGCACCACAATCTGCATTTGATGCAGACTCTCTCTCCTCCATCCCGGTCACATTCAGCACCTCCGACGCGAGCGGTCGCTTCCGGTCGTCCGAGGGACTCAGCTCCTCCAGCTCGACTGATCATCTGAGCGTGGGCGTCGGAGTGGGGGTGGACCTGGTGTTCCTGGAAGCCAGCGTTTCAGTGCACTACGACCGCGATGTGCTGAAAAACCACGATGGTAACAAGGCCTCGGTGACAACCAGCTACCGAGCGGGGTCGGTGGCGTTCAATCGGCCACCTGAACTGTCAGCAGCGGCATTTGAGGTGTTTACAGGCGATGGGGCGAACGGACGTCCAGGGGGAATCGACGACTTTCACGCCAAGTACGGCGACTACTACGTTAGCGGCTACCGCATCGGTGGCGACGCCTCTGTGCTCTTCACCACCCAAACTTCCACCCGCCACCTGACCGACACCCAACGCGTCGATATCACCGTCGAGTCCTGCTTTGGCGACGAGCATGAACGTCGGGCCACCAGCTCCGTGAGCACGGAGCACGGCGCCGAGGTGCGCCTGAGCGCCTATTCTACAATCGATCAGACGCTGATCCGGGAGACGGCGCGGGCGGGTTCCCCGAAGTTCGAGGCCCTGCTGCAACAAGGGCGTGCTATCCACCGCCGTGCCCAGACGTTGGAGGATCGCGTGGCGCAGAGGCTGCAAGAGGTTGGCGTGCAGGACGGCGGACGAGTAACCCCACAACAATGCATGCAGCTTTGCGAACGCGCGCTGGTGGTGGAGCTGCTGCTAATGCCGGTCGAGTCTCTCCGCCAGGTACGCCAGTGGTCGACCACCAAAACTGCGGCCGGGATCAGTAGACAAGACCAATTGGGTTGATCAATCTCTCTTACTCAATGCATTGCGTTGTTTTTCTATTCTATCCGATTCATTCCATCTGCTTAATCGCTTCACTTTACTGCAAATCGTGTTTGATTCTTGCTCGGACTTCCGGAGATCGGCCGTCGGCAAGAAAAGCCAATTTTATCGCACGGCCCACATCGCCAGATGGACTAGTGATTACAATCATGAAGCCAGACCCAAATGACTATGTATGCTCGTGGCCTCTCGCATGCTTCTAGCTTCAGCTGTCAAGTTCATGCGCCACAGACGGTTCTAAAAAGAGGTCCGAAGCCGTTGACCAGGACCACTGGAGCACTTGACGCCCGCAAAGAACTGATCATCACTCAACAAATCCATCATGGCCCTGTTGCTGGCCCCTTACAACAATGGCATGCGCCTCGGTAAGGCCCTTCCTATCTTTCCACCGGAACAACCCAGAGACTGACAAACCCTAGGCCAAGGGTAGAAGCTACAATCCTCCCCCTTTCCCCCTTGGTTGTTTCCCGAGAAATTGACAATGTGATAGCTTCAACACATATACGCAGCAAATCTGCATCGACGACGCGGTGGTGATCGACCCCGACCGTGTCGACAACGCCGTGACCAACGATGGCTTTACTATGCGCGAGCTGCGCTATGCGATTGGGGCGCGTGCCGGGGACAATGAAGACCAGGATGAGGAAGTCGACGACTCACCACTGCAACTGCCTCTGGGAACAGATGAGATCCTTCCATCTACTGCGCCAGGTGAAACCGCAACGCCAACCAAGCAAATCATTGGGCCCGCGCCCCCCACGGCACTGGATAGCATGGCCATTCAACTCAGCCAGGACGTGAAGACGGTCACGAAGCTCGTCGAGGAGATCGCCGCCCTCGAGGCTAGCATCGAAGACGCCGTCGAGGTGGATAGTTCGGCCACCAAGCGCGACACGCTGCTCCTCGAGAAAAAGCGCATGCGTCTGGCCCGGCTCAAGACGACCGGGACGGGGCTGAAATCCGCCAACCCCCGCCACGCCGCGCGGGATCTGTCGCGTCGAGGTCCGAGTCAGATTGTCTCGTACAACTCGCGGTTTGTCAATAAGATTAGGTGAGTTGAAGCTAATCCAGACGGAACATTGAACATCCCTGCAAGAAAAAGCTTCAGCTAAACTCTTCCAGTGAGATCACGGATGACATGAATATTTCCGGTTCTCTGTCGATTAAATACGGTGCCGTTGGCGGGTCCGGCAAGGGCTCTTTCGTCGACACGGACAAGTTCAAGGAAAGCGACCTGAACTTCTTCATCAGCGTCAAAGTCATCAACCAGAGTATCAACATCAAGGATGCCCTCGTCTTTCAGGGCCTCCCGTCCGTCAACGAAGACAACTTTCGATCCGTCTTCGGCGACGCGTTCATCTCGGGCTTCCTCGAGGGCGGCGAGTTCAACGCTCTGGTGAGCATGAAGGTCATCAACAAGGACAAGCGCATGTCGGTGAAGGCCGAGTAAGTCTAGTGTCCTCTCTTCCCCCTGGTGCAGAATGAACCTAAGCATCTTCCTTGCTTAGAGCAGAGATTGCCCTAAGTGTTGGCGGGGCGGATATTCACGCCATGGCTGATGTGGGTATCGGCAAAACCAACTTCTCCTCCCAGACCGAGACCACGATTCAGGTGGGTTGGTCGGGTGGAGGACACATCAAACCCAGTGGGTGTTCTCTTAACTCCTGCATCTGAGCTCGTGACATACTAAGATAGCAATGCAGTGGATCAACCGTGGACCATCCAGACTCTGATGGCGACAGCGGCCAAGTTCCCCGATCTGGTAGCCAATACCCCCCAGCGAACCTAGTAGGTCTCACAAAAGTCTTCGACTAATGGCACTCCAACGGCCAGAGCTAACCATCACAGTGCCATCCTCACTAAGTATGAGTCTCTGCGCAGTTTCATGGCGCTGAAGCCCCCCGCGCTCAAGCCACTGTTTTACGAAAACGCGGCCATCTATACCAACACCCTTCTGGATGCCTACATGGACTACAAAAACGTAACACGAAGCCACTCTATTCAGTTGCTCCAAGATATCCATGCTAACAAAAATAGGTTTATCGTACCCTTAGCACCTACCTAGCCGATATTCAGGCAGGAACTAAGAAGTTCGGAGAGGACTGGCCCACGGGCACCGCGCTCGCGGACGCCACCACGCTGGGCAAGATGGACGACGAGTCACGGTTTCCATCAACCATCAAGGGACTGGATCTAGCGCGGCGGGCCTGTCGGTTTCAAATGGTCAAGATTGTCAAGGAGGTGGACGCGATCGAGACGAAACCCGATCTGGCCGCCGACGAGACGCGGGAGGAAGCCTACCAGAGCCCGATTGTGTTCCGGGAACGGCTGCCCCTGGTCAAGGACAAAGAGAAGTTGCCGCATCTCAAGATCTTTGGCACAGATGTCCCTTACCCCCCGTTGCTGGACCATGTTGATGGAGACGGGATGTCCGAGGATGAGGTGGCCAAGGCGGCCAGCTACAAAGCCGATCAACCCGATGTCAGCGAGTTCCAGCGCCTCGCCCCCATGGTGGGCTCAGCCACGGGCTCTCTCTTCTGCAATCTGGACTTCATCAAGCCCGATTTCAGTCTGCGGTCCGTCCGAGTGGATGTTCACAATGGAGTAGTGGCGGGGCTAAGCGTGCGGTACGCGAACGGCCTGCTGGCCGCCATGGGGACCGCGGGAGGGGACCGCTCGCTGTCACTGGCGTTGAATGCCGAAGATGGCGAGAAGATCATCGCATGCTCTATTGAGACCGGCCGTGAGGAATTCGACGACGACCCCAATGCCCCGACTCGCGTGACGGCCATCCGGCTCTACACTAATCGCGGACCGGATCTGCTGGGCAACGCTGAGGACTGGAAACCCGCCGTCAACGGCCGGGGTATCCGCGGCGGCCTCGCCTTTAAGGACCTTATCCTCACGCACTTCGATCCCTTGCTCGTCAATTCCCACGTTAAGGGCTTCTGGGGGTACGGCATCACGACAACCACCCTCAAGGCGGAAAGCGGGCTGTACCGGCTCGCCCCGATCTGGGGTAACAAGGAAAGCATTACGCCAGCGGTCGGGGCGCCGGTCGACGACCGCGTCGTCGACCCGGCCAAGATCATGACCGAGGCGCAGGAACTCCGATTCGCGGCCAACACCCACCGCAGCTGGCAGGGCGGCAAACCCGGCGGCAGCGCCGTCTTCGAGTACCACTTCCCGAAGCCGCTGCCCATCGTCCCGACCATCCTCTACGGCCTGCGCTGCCTCGACGTGAACGGCGCCAACTCGCCGCGGTTTGCGCTCGAGCTGCCGACGGTGTCTGAGTCCGGGTTCATGCTCGCGCTGAAGACCTTCCTGCACCCGACCCTCAACATCGAGGCCAACGTCCTCGTCCTCCCAAACGGCAAGATCCCGTTCCAGCACGGCCTCGTTAACGCCAGCGACACGGCCGCCGGCCGCACCGCCGCGCAGAACGCCGCGGTGCAGGTCACCTTCGCGAAGCCGTTTGCCGACCCGGAGCCCAAGGTCTTCGCCTGGTTCACGGCGGTGTCGCAGCCGCGCGGCCGCCGCAAGCTGACCACGTACATCACGGACGTGACCGCGCACGGCATGACGGTGCACATCGACACGGACGCCGGATGCGAGTTCGAGTCCGCGCAGGTGGCCTGGTTGGCCTGGCCGCGCGAGGACGACGGCCGCGGCGTCCGCGCGGGCAACAGTGTCTGGCGCCGGGACGATCCCGTCAGCGACGCTCCCTGGTATGGAGGCGGGTTCTCTCGCACCCCCAAGGTGTTCTGCGGCATCAATCATCTGGATTTCCCCGAGTGTCCGGACACGTGGCTGCGCGTGTTTGGGAAGCCTGAGCAGGCGACCAAGGAGCGGTTGCGCTGGCACGCGGGCACCTGGCAGGATACCCCGATGAATGAGGTGGGGGTGTGTTGGATTGGGGTTGAATAAGGTGGTTTGATGGATGGGTGTTAATGAATTGCATGATTTCTTGTTTCTTACTATACTTTGGGCTTGAAGCTCTGCGTTGAATATACCCTCTCTGACTATATTGCTTGGCCACAAACCACTCCACTCCGAATTTCACTGACCGGGAGATAACAACATCGCCATGCCAGGCAAGCGGCTGTAATTCCTTCTGATTCCTGACTAACTGGCTAAGACAAACTGTCGACCTAGTTACATAGGAACTGCTATCAACATGGAGATTTCCACGCACTATTTCCAGCTTACCAGCCCTCTCCTTTTACTGTTTGCGTCTTCCGGTTCGGGTAAGTCCAACCTCGGTGGTGGCGCTCATTGCCGCGGCGCCGCAGAAGGATGCCTTGCATCATGCATCAAGGAGACTCATCAACATATCTAATTGGACTATGCCAGTTGCGCAAATTACCTCTGACAAGAGAAAACACTGAGCCAAAACCACCCAGAGCCTCCAAGCCGTCGAGGCTCGGGATGTAACCCACTTCAACACAAGCACATCGCCGACCCACCACATTTTCACCCATCCCCACGGGGTATCCTGACGTGTCTTCCCAGGTTACATTGACTATTCCATGATTCGACCTCAACCACGGTTGGTCCACCACAACCCCGCCTAGACTGTGATCGCCCGGACAGGCGAGCCAACCACCGCTCCGAGATAAGGTAGCCATGTTGAGCCTTCATCAGCCGTGGTTCCACAGCACAAACAAGCTTCAAGCTTCTGTCTCCGCCATCCATGTGGATCCCCGCCATCCTTACGGCCTGGTCACTTGCTGATGACGGCATGAAATTATTATAAGGTTACTCTGTAACAGTCGGTGGCTGTAGCCAGTCTTATCTACGCGACTGGTTGGCCTAGACCCTGCACTTCGAGTCGATTTGGGCGGGAGGCCTCTCATGCATTGTCGATCGCATGGATAATGTAATAAAAGACCACTGCCATTCCCCCTCGCGTGGCCGGACTTTCGAGTCGTGTCCGTTTCGTGGATGGCTAGAACTTGACTGTCCATACAAATCACGGACGAGAAGGGGTTTCTGCCTGGAATTCGCCTGTTGATCGTCAGACTCTCTTCTCTTGCCCTTTAGTCAGTCGAGGATCGACTCTGTCGTTCTCTGGCGACATATCACCCACAAGACCCCGCGATAGATCCCGAAATAAACTCCCTTTCACCATGACCCAGGAAGAGATCACCGAGAAGAAGGTCCTAAAGGACGGTAGTCCAGCTGCTCGAGTGGAACATGCCGAGAAGGCCAGCGGCGCACATACGATCTACGACCTCGAGGGCCGCACCACCGGTCCGAGTCATCTCAGCGCGATCCTCGAGAACCCTCTCGCAGGTATCCCACGCGAGAAGTTGTTGGATGACGTTGAAAAGTTCTGTCGTGAACACGGTCTCGATGAACATCTTGAGGACTTCCGCAAGGGAGCGCTCATCTCGCAGAACCCAGCAGGAGCGCTCGATCTGCCCGAGCTGAGTGAGGAAGACAAGAACACGCTGCGGCGCGAACAGACTCACAAATGGTTCCAGCCATGGCAGCTATATTTTCTAGCCGGTGAGAGGCTTCCGCATCCGTGTACTTGTCTTTGGGCTAATCTTGTCGTCTAGCTATGTGCTCCCTTGCTGCCGCTGTCCAGGGGATGGACGAGACTGTTAACAACGGCGCGCAGGCAATCTACTTGAAGGTAGGGATCGTACCAGCTCGTTTGGACAGCAGAGCACTGAAAACCCTACAGCAACTCGGAATCAAGTCTCCCCGCTTCTCTCCAAAGATGCAAGACTACCTGACTGGCCTGGTCGTGGGCGCACCCTACCTCGCCTGCGCGACAGTCGGATGCTGGCTGACGGAGCCCATGAATCGATACCTCGCCCGTCGAGGCACGATCTTCTGGTCCTGCTTCATCGCCGCGGTCGCGTCCATCTGGGAAGGCGTCGCCAACTCCTGGGTCAACCTCTTCCTCGCCCGGTTTGTCCTAGGCTTGGGGATTGGGTCCAAATCCTCGACGGTGCCCGTCTACGCGGCCGAATGCTCGCCCGCGCCCATCCGCGGCGCCCTGGTCATGATGTGGCAGATGTGGACGGCGTTCGGGATCATGCTGGGCAACATCATGGGGGTGGCCTTCATGGGCCTCTCCGACGATCTCTCGTGGCGGCTCATGCTGGGCTCCACCGTCGTGCTGCCCATTATCGTCTGCGCGCAGGTCTACCTGTGCCCGGAATCCCCGCGCTGGCTTCTCCAACACGACCGCATCGACCAGGCCTTCCGCGCGTTCCGCACGCTCCGCCCGACCTCCCTCCAAGCCGCGCGCGACCTCTACTACGCCTACGTGCAGGTCCAGCTCGAGCGGCAGGTGAACACGGGCCGCAACTTCTTCAGCATGTTCCTGGAGCTCTTCACGGTCCCGCGCAACCGCCGCGCCACGCTGGCCAGCTGGATCGTGATGTTCATGCAGCAATTCTGCGGCGTCAACGTGATCGCCTACTTCAGCTCGACCATCTTCTTGGACGCGGGCTACTCGATCCAGCAGGCTCTGCTCGCGTCCATGGGCACCGGCATCCTGAACTGGGTCTTCGCGCTCCCGGCCTTCTTCACCATCGACACCTGGGGCCGCCGCAATTTGCTGCTGTTCACCTTCCCCTTCCTCGCCCTCTGCCTCCTCTGGTGCGGCTTCTCCTTCTGGATCGAGCCCGACAACCCCAACAGCCGCGCCCGCGTCGCCATGGTCACGACGGGCATGTACCTGTTCGAAGTCTTCTACTCCCCCGGCGAGGGACCCGTTCCCTTTACCTATTCAGCGGAAGCGTTTCCCCTGCAAGTCCGGGAGGTGGGGATGTCCTTCGCGACGGCGACGACCTGGGGCTTCAATTTCATTCTGTCGTTCACGTGGCCCTTGCTGTTGAGTTCGTTTAAGCCCCAGGGCGCGTTCGGATGGTACGCCGCCTGGTGCGTGGTCGGATGGGTGCTCGTGCTATTGTTCGTGCCGGAGACGAAAGGTGAGTCTGCCTGCCTGCTGCTTTCCCATGGAATCACTCCCCTTGTAGACAGATTCCTAAGCTCATGCTTCACAAATTGAAACCGTCTATACTAACCCGGACGTGGATGCAGAACTCACCCTCGAGGAACTCGACCAGGTCTTCTCCGTCTCCACCCGCAAGCATGCCCGCTATCAGCTCGACAACGCCTGGTGGCACTTCCGTGTCTGGATCCTGCGGCGGAAGCTCGCGCCGCTACCCAAGTTCTACGAGGGGGCGGAGCGGTTGGCGGAGGAGGTGCACTAGTTGCACTGCAGTGTACTGTAATTTACGGAGCCAGTGTCGTGGGAGATGTGGTGCGCGAGGCATGGATGTACTGGTTGCTATGTAATGTTTGAAACGTAACATTTGATTGTGTATGATGGTCAAGGCATATTGGACAGCCTTGATACTGAGCATGCCATGTGCAGCAAACCTAACCCCAAGAAAAGAAAGAGAGCAAAGATGGGGAACGAGCGGGCAGCCGCCGGGTAAAAAAAGCAAAAAGAAGAATCACGTGCTCACACTCGGACTCGAACCGAGGATCTCAGCATTACTAGTGCTGCGCTTTACCATCTAAGCCATGCGAGCGGTGGATGTCTTTCCTCCTCATTATAATTGTTATACCCCAATGGTCAGAGGAAGAAGCTAATTGTTCTCGGGTCTATTGCTACCCATATGGGTCTGGTGATCAAAACCGAACCGATAATCTAAAGCGCCTCGACTGCTCAATCTAGCCTGGGAGTCCGGCTTTTCGCAGTTTTATTTTATATATTAATGTGAATGATTGGTCTGGATTGCTATTAAGTGCATACATAGCAGGCCAAGGGGGTCTGTATAGAGCCTTTTTTACTGTTAATAATAGTAGTACTTAGTTAGAAACAGTATTTATTAGTTATCATACAGTTGCGGTACGGTTACAATACAGTTAGAGTACAGTTATAATACAGTTATAGTAGTAAAAAATAGTTATAAAATAAGAAATACTGTTATATAATTAAAAGAGTATATTACAGAACTGTATATAACTAATATTAAAGGTAGATTTTTTAATAATTAATTTTAATACTAATAGTCATTTTAAACATTATTTAAGTTACTTATAGTTTTTTTTATATTAAATTAGTTATCTCTCTATTCTGTAACTGTAGGCTAAGAAGTAATAACAGTACTATTAAGATTTTAAAATATATAAAATAATATTTTATAATATAAAAATAATAAAAACCTTTATAATACTTTATATAAAGTTAATATTCTATATATACTGTATTAAAACTATTAAGGTTAAAAAAGTATAAGCAGACTTCTATAAAAAATCTAATATAAATACTTTTTTAATATTAGAATCAGGTTTTATTAGAGCCCATTTACTTAAATATTTAAAATAAAAAAGTATTAATAAAGGATCTTTTTAAATTACTTATAAAGATTTTATAAGAAGAAATACAGAATATTAATAACTAAAATAGTATATAACCCTACAAGAAAGATAGAATAGAGTAAAATAATATTAAATAAATAATTAACTATAAAATAGATAGAAACTAATAAATATTAGTAAGTATAATATAAAGGGTATAAAAAACTATAGACTAACTATTTAGAAATTCTAATATAACTTTAAAAAAATAGTATTATACTATTATACTGGATTAGAATACTTTAAAAGTATTCTGTTAAGTATACTAATAGAAGTATTTTAAAAACTTAATTTATTAAACAGACCCTTAGTTTTTTAAAATTAAGTTATCTAGATAGAACATATTTCTTAATTATAAAATTATATTTGTTTAGTAGGATATAGTAATTTAAAAGCTATAGGCATAGCTGGCAGAGCTTTAAAATTAATTAAACTTAAATAAAAAAGCTATAGTTTTAAATACTACTAAACCTAAATTACAGGGACTGTCAAATCCGATCTATTTAAAAAAAATAGATTATAAGATTATATAGCAA